AAATGGCGACAGAGAGCGAGCTTCGTGTCCAACCATGCCATTTCGTGCCAAGACTTTCGATAGGCCTAGGATGTTGGCATAAACACGGACCATAATACGGCACCGGTCGGCCTCAGCACCTAAAGTGGAGTGCATCAATTCTTTGACGGAATCGCTCAATTGCTGAGCGGCGTTGATGCCGCCATCGCTACCAGCCTTAATAAAGTGTTCCTTGAACTGTGGATTGTTAGAAGAATGAGCCAGGAAAGACAAAGGCAAGCCTCCCACACAAAAAAAAAGAAGAAGAAGAAAGACAAGGGAGGGAAGAGAGCAAATAGTGACATGGTTACTTACCAGGTAGCCATCACCGTCCACGAGAACCAAAACGAAAGGATTGCGCTCCTGGAAATTCATTAGCTCTCTAATTCAAGACTCAGCCTTGTCAGGCGTCCAGGAACATTAGTATCCTACTTGACCGCGGGCCTGCCTTTTGTACTTTTCGCGACCTTCCTTGACCTCTTCGTAGTCACTTTTCAGAGCACTGTAGTCTTCGAGGACGCTGCGGAATTGGCCCAAGACGACCTGCAGCTTTTCATGGTGAGACTGGTTCTCACTAGAGAGAGCTGCAACCTGGTTGGTTAGGGAATCTATATCGGAATCCCTTAGCAGCATGGCGAGGAAGGTGGGAAGGCATATGCCCCCAAGTAATGAAGAACAGTGAAGGTAACTCTCATATGATAGCTGTAGATGATGGAAATTGTAAGATAGAGCAGGGCAAAGGCCAAATAGAAAGCAGAAAAGAGAATGCAGAGATAAGTGAAAAAGTCAAGATGACACGAGTGAAGGGTGGGGGAAAACAATTGAATTGCAGAATTTCGATGCGGGTTTCACCGCCCACCTGGGCACCGTTGCCCCCCTTGCGCCGTGATTTTGTGTGTTTGCACTGATTCATTCATTCACTTGGGCATTCAATAATTCATTGATTCACTGATTGATACCCTATGGCCTATGGCTGGCATTTATTGTGAGCCCAACTTGGTGCTCTTCAGGCTCCGCTGAAACACTCTTGATGCAGCCACCCCTTTCAAGCGGAGGTGGCACCACCCCATCAACAGATCTGCAATAGTATCTGCAATTTAGTCCATCGGATCACTTGAGGAGTTGGCCCTATGGGATTAATTATCTTTGTGTCAGCCGTTTTGACCCTCTTTCCCACTTCCTCGATTCCCTCAGGCCTAGTCGGTCTTACATCAGTCGAAGTGGATACGTCATCACCAAGGCCCACCCACGACGTGGTTGATGATCGTTGATGATCCATGCCCAGTGACATTTACATGTTTGATCCCCAAATTGATGTCTGGACTACGAGTATTCCGAGACAATCTGCGATTATCCTGCAAGCTTGAACCATGGCTTGTTCCATATGAACGAACGATCTTTGGCAGCGTTTGAGGCTCGTTGCCCTATCATGAACCAACAGGGAAGCATATTCCCAAAGATATGAGTTGGCCTGAGCGTCACAGAGTGACACAAGATCCTTCCATGCGGCTACAAACCCGGGGAACCCTAACGGCTCATCCGGTCCCTTCTGCACGGTCGCATGGCTTTCCAACCGGGTAGCACAGGTTCGGGGCTTCGTCAGGAACAGCACCCAGGATGTGTAGGGGTGGATGCGGTTCCGCAACTCTCATGTCTCTGCGCCAATTCGCTCAATCTGTCTTTCTGAGTTATTTTATAGATTGGGCTCAGTCGATACCCGCAAACATGTCTGCGGGAAACGGTCGTAAATGCAATCTGTAAGATTCGGCTTCCTGCTATCGCAGGACCCAATCGGTGATGTACCCGCCCGTTCAAAGGTAGACCTTGCAGGTAGGTCGTTACGCTTCAAATTGAACGGCTTAGATTTATCCCCATGTTTGCTAATTATTGCAGTGTACGGCGCTCCACGGCCACAATCGACCTACTGCTTCTGCCAGGGCAGCAGTGCACCGAAATTACTAGTGCTTCCTAGTATACGACCACTTCAGTGAAGCTATTCTACCTACAAAGATTACTTGAACCTAGCCCTGGAACGCCTCGACAATTCAAGGCACTAGGTACCTAGGTACAATATGACGAAGTAGGATACCAAGTACCTAGTAGTAGAATGTTTATATCTCTAATACAGTCACCCTAACGCGGCAGACAAGAATACCCCGCTTCGGGTCATAGTTCGGAAATTGCTCCTTGATTGGATTAATGTCGGTTTGAAACAAAGAGTCGATGGCCGGAGGGTTTAAAGCTTGATGGATGAGACGGGGGGCTTATTTTATCTCTTCTGTTCAGCGAAAAATGGTTAACATAGACAGCTTTATCTGTCTGAGGCGAACAGACCTTGGCAGACCTATTGTTGTGTAAGAAGTGAAAGACAATGTACTTCCTTGTACCCGATACCAGGTGGCCCTTTCTTAACTTATCCACTGCCACCTGTCAGGTATTTTGTTCTATTTCCTGCGGTTGCAAGCAGGGAGCCCCCTGGGGTGTTCACGAATCCGACTCGGTCCTAAGTTTACCAAGAAACGCGGTTCTCATCAGCCGGAGAAGACATACCCTTTGAGCCCTAGAGTATTTCAAATTTCCCAACCTGGCCTTTTCCAACATTGGAAGCTCGTTTAAGAGCGCTGTCAAGTTGAAGGATATCGGCGACTCGTCGACGTCACCAATGGCATCAAGCCGGGGCTCGTGGATGCCATGTCCTGGTATTTTGGTTCATTGTGAAACGGCTGTATGTTTTGACAAGAGAAGGAAATTGGATTCACCTGTTCAGTCTTATCTACGATGGGCTTAAATAGTAAATTCAAGGGATACGGTAGCGGATGGTTCTCCTTGACTGTTGACTGTGTTTGGAAGATCATGGAAGAAATGATCGACCCGTTCCAAAATTAATTTTGGTTGAATATGTTATGCAGCATACTACGCATATATGCATACAAATTGAGAACTTGAATTCGACCAGTAGTAGTCAATTTTATTTTGTTCCACCGAAATTCTTTCATTGGGAAGGGAAATACTCAATACCCTGATGCATTCCCCATGATGGACGCGATGGGGTATTGATTTCCGATAGCCCCGGTTTGTATCGCCGTCAACGCCGCGGGTCTTTCCCAAGCCCGCAATCATCACCCTGTGATGATTGCAACGAGTAAAATGCGCACCGTGGGCCTTTCGCGGAAGTGGAGGCATCTAGCCCGTCTAGGTATGCAGGACGGCCCGGAGAAGTCATTGCTCATGTGAAAAAGTTAAGGATCATCAGTGAGCTGCGATTGGCCCCGCCCGAAGGTCTGGAGAAGTTCAACTCGCTCCGCTGCGAAGCTGTCAGCCTCGGCCTGCGCCCATGCTCCACCATATGATCCCTGTGTGACATTGAGATCGGATCGGACTTTCAGGCTATAAACAACCCCGGACCACCCCCAGCTTCGACCGCTAGCTCATCTCTCCACATCTACCGCGTCACAGTGCACCGTCGTCACCATGAAGTACGTCCTCTTTTCGCTGAGCGCGTTTGTCTTCTACGCTATCTTCTATTTCGCTAAGGTCAATGGCCTCGATGATCTCGGCCATAAGACCATTGAGTCTGGCCGACTCCCCGGTCTCGATGAGCCCTTGCGCAACTTCTATACGGGTGTCGAGCCCATTGATCGTATCCTGACTCTCCTGACGGTATTCTTCTACCCGACTCTGGACGGTCAAAGCCCTGGACTACTCCTCCACAGCATCGGATTTTCCGGTACTTTTGGCGCGGCTTGGACTCTGGTGGTTCTCGAATCATGGCGCAAGGGCAATGCAGGCACCGTGGCTGCTTAGTAGGTGGCCCTTCTGCAAATCAGGAATTGCGTCCTTCATTCCAGATAACTGACACAGCTCAATAGCCCCATGATTTTCGGCCTTGCAGCTCAAGTGCTTACCTTTGCATTTGCGACCCCTCTCTTCTTGGGTCTCCAGCTTGGCTCCTCCATCACAGCGCGTCGTCCTCATGCAGATAATATTCGCATTCCTCGGGCCGTCCTCGCCGTGCTGCCGCTGATTTTCGTGGTCGGATTCATGGTGCCGAGCCATGCCATGATTCTTCCCGCTCCAGAAGTCATTTCTGTCGACTGGAAGCAAATCGCAATTGCCATCTGGCAGCCGTGGCCTGCTTACGTCTCAATCCTGAGCACCGTTGCTTACTATGTCTTGTCACCTTTCTTCCCGAACAACCACCGAGCTTCCATGTCTGGCCTGCGCTGGGTTTACGCGTTTGCATTCCTAAATGCAAGTGTTTCCCATCTGGTTTCTTGGGTTCTGTCTCTGGCCACCGTCATGGTTCCAGGCCTGTTCAAGGCTCAATTCGTCGAATCCCTGCATCCGGCGAAGGTCTTTGAGATTCCGCTTCCCTGGTCTGGCTTGAAGGTCGATACCGTGGCTCAGGGTGTTCACGCTTTCCTTCGCTGGGATTACCTGATTGGATCTGCTGGTGTCCTGGTTTGGGCTCTGTCCCTGTATGTGGTTGCCCACAAACAGATTCTGAGTACCGTTTCCTGGCCTAGTCTTCTGGTCAAGGTTGGTGTTTTGACTGCTCTAACCGGTCCAACCGGTGCTGCTGTCGAATTAATGTGGGAACGTGATGAGCTAGTATTCAGCGAAACTGGGGGTTCTCGACAGGTTACTAAGGCAAAGAAGTCTTCTTGATTCTTCGAATATTTCCCATGTTGGACCCCGGGAATTGGTAATGATACAATGCTTGGTTATCTGTGGCTAAAATGAGACTTTTGTGTACTATCACGCCAATCTCCAGTATTTCTTTCTACACTTTTCTTTCGTGCCTGCCCAGGTGGTCGGGATTTTTTGATAAATACAGAGATGGCCTAGCGTATAGGTTTATCCCATAATAAAGGGATATTTGGGTGAAACCGCGCCAGAAAGTCCTCCTGAAATCTACTTAATTGTCTTTCAATGTTGTCAAGGTGGCCTGCATTGTAGTCTAGCTATCTGTCTGTCCCAATTTAAAAGACCTTGAGAACTTTGTAGATCTCCTCAATATACGCCTTAGTACAATCGTTTCCTATGGCAACTTGCTGCATCTTGTTCATGGCATAGGCGATGGTCACTCGGCGCTCTAGATCCATGATAATAACCGAGCCTCCCCATCCACTCCAGAAACAAAGGCGGCCCTCTGGAATCCAAGGCAGAGACTGCGGAGATGGCAGACCGAAGCCAAGTCCCAGGCGCAGATACAAAAATAGAACTGCATCCGGTCCAGCGATCTGTTCCTGAAGTGCCTTATCGACAGTTCCCGGCGACAGATATTGTCTTCCACCGACCGTGCCGTTGAGAGACATGATAGAGCCGATTCGAGCCAGAGCCCGTGCATTGGAAATTCCACCCACGCCACCCATCTCTGCTTTCCAGAATCCGTGCGTGTTGCATTTCTCACCAGAACCTAACAAAGGAGATCCCATATAGGTCTTTGCTGTGACACCATTGGGGTCGAGGCTGGCAAATGCACTAGGATCAACATCAGGGGGAGGGATGACAGGGGAAATGCGTGGCCAATCCTTTTCCGGTCTTCCGAGGTCGAAGTCGGCATCCAAAGGCTTCGCAATCTCATCTGCAATAAATTGTCGCAGTGACTTGCCGCTCACGCGCTGGACAATCTCACCGACTAGATGTCCTTGGTTCACCAGATGGTAGGCATTGAGTTCACCAGGAGCATGCCAGGGCGCTTGTGCAGCAAGCTTTTCGTTCGCTGACTTGACATCGTAGATATCCTCCCAGGTCATCTTGAGCGATGGCTCCCAGCCAGAGACACCAGAGGAATGACTTAGGATATGAGCCACCTTCACATTTTCTTTTCCGTTTGCGCCGAATTCCGGCCAGTATTTGGCGACATTCTCGTTCACATCCAACAAGCCGCGATCGACCAGGATGAGCGCAGCCAGATTGGTGACAACTTTAGAGCAAGACCATACCGGTGTTATGGTATCCTCGTTCCAAGGCTGGGTCTTGGATTCATCTGTATAACCTCCCCAAATATCGACCACGTTCTTGCCGTCGATATTGATACACAGTGATGCGCCCACCTCTTCGCCACTCGCGATGTTCTTTTGAAAAAGCTCGCGGACCGAGTTGAATGCGGGGTCACAGGGGCCGTGCGTGTCAGCCATGGCGCTCAGCTGGGGAAATGGAAAGACTAAAGGTGATGCACGGAAATAAAGTCGCGTCAAAAATTGTAGAGGAATGGGAATAAGACGCTCAGATACCGTCTGGTCGTTTCGACCATGGCAGCGACTTTATAGGAAACCTGGTGCCTTAGTGCTGACGATCTTGCCGCACGGATTAGCCATAAACAGTCAGAAAATTCACAGTTGCCATTATTTTGGCCTGGAGAAATTGGGGGCCGCTAGCCTCGCGACTTCTACCAGATGCAGTAAGAAAGTTCTTAGTGCAAAATTGACTTCGGTCACAGAGAATAGACGAGTCAACCAACCACACAGCGACCTAATGTGGCCAGTTGATAGAAGTTCAGAACCATAAAATTGGTGATGTGCGAATGCCTAGAGATCTAGGGATGCCTGAGGCATGTTATCCTCAACGCAACTTGAGGGTAAGTTAGCTTGTAATAAAGATAGCAATGCTAGATCTCCCAGAGTCTATGAAGTATATCCTCTAAATTTCTGGACTATATTGAGACAATATCATTTTGGGCCTGGATTAAGGCCATCTACCGACCCGCGGGCCGATGGTAGTCTGCGGCAAGTCATCCGGCTGACGGCAATCGGTGAATTTGTCGCAACTAGTTCGTGCGAGCTTCTAGAAAGATTCCATATACTAATAAAATCGTGCGATTAAAATTAGTAGCATCCTATTTATCTCAATTTCGAGAGAATTCGATGATACTTGGAGTAAAATAGTATGTAATGCATATTTTAATGACAGTTGCCGGCTCGGACGGCGTCGATCGGATCGACCGGGGAAGACATCACTCGATGACGCTGACAATCGTAGAGTATAAAGTCTAGCCAGGAACCAACAAAAAGGGATGCATCAATTGGAACTTAGAGAAAAATAATTCCCCTATCTCATAATTCTTCAACCGACGCATATATTCTTAATTTAATATCGCACTATTTGCCCTCCGGCCATGGAGCGTGCCGGCTCACCACCTCCATCATCCTCGTCCCCACACGCATCCATCTCCAGCGGTAGCGACAACCTGACAGAAGTCCCCACAGCCCGCGACCCTCGTCCTTCCCAATTTGCAGATACACGATCGGGTGCTCTCAGTCGCCGGCAGACAAATCTCAACCATGTTGAGCTCGAGCGCATTGAGACATATCGACTGCAGCACCGGACAACAGTAGGATCTGGGGGCGGAGTTGCCCCACGAGAAAAATGGCTACCTATGGGCGCAGAAAAGCCCTACCCACCCGATTTGCCAGACCCGGAGCAGTTCGTGGTTGAGTTTACTGGCTCAGATGATCCCATGCATCCCCAAAACTGGGCGCTGAACAAACGAATCATAATCTCCGCTACCTTGGCCTATACAACATTCGTATCATCTTTCGCGAGTGCCATATACTCATCTGCGGCACTCGCAATTGCAACGAATTTCCACATTAGTACTGAAGTCGCTATCCTCGGTGTGACATTGTACGTTCTCGGCTTTGCCTCCGGTCCAACGCTATGGGCGCCCATGAGTGAACTGATTGGGAGGAAAATGCCTATTATCGTGGGAATGTTCGGATACTCTCTATTCACGGTCGCGGCTGCTACCTCCAAAGATGTACAAACTCTTATGTTGACTCGATTCTTCGCTGGTTTCTTCTCAGCCAGCCCGATCGCAATTGTTCCGGCTGTTTTTGCAGATATCTGGAATAACCAGACTCGCGGTGTGGCTATCGCTATGTTTGCAATGGCTGTTTTCGTCGGTCCGTTTGCATCCCCTTTCACTGGAGGTTTCATCACGATGTCCTACTTGGGCTGGAGATGGACAATGTACATTGCTTGTATTATGGGCTTCCTGGCTGTCGGACTTTGTCTAGTCTTTTTGAAAGAAACATATGCACCGGCCATCCTGGTTGAGAAAGCAAAGACCCTCCGTCGCCAGACACATAATTGGGGAATTCGAGCTAGACAAGAAGAAGTTGAGCTCGACTGGGAAGAGATCATCACCAACAACTTCAGCCGGCCGTTTCGAATGCTCTTCACGGAGCCAATTGTGTTTCTAGTATGACTTCCCATTCTCACACCTATATGCAATTGCTAACCTTTGCCAAGATTTCTCTATGGATGAGCTTTGTCTATGGCTTGATCTACGCTCTTCTCAGTGCATACCCAGTGGTCTTTCAAGGAATTCACGGGATGGATCTGGGAGTTGGAAGTCTTCCATTCATCGGCCTCATAATTGGTGAGATATTGGCTGGTGCTTATATTCTGTATGATCAAAGATCATATGCGAAAAAGCTTGCCGACAACAACAATATACCGATTCCCGAATGGCGACTCCCACCATCGATTCTCGGAGGTATTTGCTTTACTATCGGGCTCTTTTGGTTTGCTTGGACTGGCTGGACGAAGGCTATTCACTGGATGGCACCAACTGCTAGTGGGGTCATCACTGGGTTTGGAATTTACGTGATCTTCTTGCAATGTTTCAACTACTTGATCGACTCTTACCTCATGTTGTGAGTCGCTCTCTTTCTTTACGTGATGGTTCGAAAGCTGATTGTCTATAGTGCCGCTTCCGTGTTCGCCGCAAATACAATAATGCGGTCTGCTGTAGGTGCTGCGTTCCCTCTGTTCTCCAAACAGATGTTCCAAAATCTCGGAGTACAATGGGCAGGTACACTACTCGGTTGTTTGGCTCTTATAATGGTACCCATTCCACTCGCTTTCATCAAGTGGGGCCCGGCATTAAGGAAGAAATCCAAATTTGCACCGACTTTCGGGCCGGTCGAGACTACGCCGTCCGAAAAAGAACCTCGTGCATCTGTGTAGAAACAAAGTGTGGGCAAGGGACTCAGATTTTCCAACCTGAAGGCGCATAAAATCTGTTCATTCTCTGATTTTTGATTACATTGTCAATGGGACATAGATAAATTGAAGGTCTACTCATTCGGACGACCGCGTACCTCCGGAACATGTAGGTCGAGCTAAGATCTCCAGGATCAGACCTGGATAGATATCGTGTGGGCGGAAATTGCCTGGTCACCAATCAAATTACAGCATATGGTTCTTTTATATATCGCTGTCAGCTATAAACATCAATCTGATGCGGATTGATTGAAGCTTCTGACCCGATCGGCTTGCCCCGATCGGCCTTATCACTGGACCCTGTCTATCAAATGTCATCACAGTTGTATATCGCGATAAGAGTACAATTCTGAAAAGAATCCGCCTTTCGCCAAGACGCTAGAATGCAGCCTCGGTGTTTCATGGCGTGCTTCACGCTTGAGAAGCACCTTTGACTTTCATCCCCATAATGAAGGTTGGTACATCACCCATGAGAAATCTCCAGCATCGGTACCCAAACCTATATCATACATCGCCTTGTGTCAGAAAATTTTGCCGCCAAGACCCACCTTGATTGCCGAGCCAGGACCCATCCATGGCCAGGGCAACTGTCGGCTACTACGGAGTAGTCAGGCGGCCAACCGTGCCGGTAAAACCAGCCAGTTCAACCGCCAAGACGCCAAGCTGGTCGGAGGCGGAGATAGCTGAAAAGGATGGCAAGCAGGCGGATTTTTTGATTTTTTTTTTCTGTCAGACCTTATCAGGCGAGTGTGGTTGGCGGAGGGGCCGGGATTACTTTTTGATTATATTTTTTGGCTTTGCAGCCTGGAACTTTGTTGCTCTGCTTCTTGTAAACTCCCTTTAAATACTCCTTGTCGCAGACCGACTGCAGTGGTTCCCCCACACCCCGCGCCACCCTGCAGCAGCAGCTTTATCATCTTGCTTGTCAGTATGGGTGCGAATAATTGGATCCACGCTACCAACCTGCGGGTTGCTCGCAGCCCCGTGGGGAGATGGTTTCGACTTGAGAATTCTGGCCATGTGAGTTCCCGATGGTATATGTGACACCATCAACAAATGGAAAACTAATATATTGTTATAGCCGCGTGAGCGGAAAGGTAGTTTCTTTTTCACCGAGTTGCGCGCCGGCCTTGCCACCTTTTTCGCCATGGCATACATCATTTCAGTCAACAGCAATATCACTTCCGAGACCGGCGGGACATGCGTGTGCCCCCCGGAGAGCATGGACGACTTCTGTGATACAAACTCCGAATACTTGCTGTGCGTGCAAGAGATCAAGCGCGACATCGTTACTGCGACTGCGGCTATTGCAGCACTCTCTACTTTTTGCATGGGACTTTTCGCGAACCTGCCAATCGCACTAGCACCAGGCATGGGCCTGAATGCATACTTTGCCTATACTGTTGTTGGACGTCATGGTAACGGCTTGGTTCCTTATTCTGTTGCTTTGACTGCTGTTTTCGTCGAGGGTTGGGTCTTCTTCGGCTTGACCTTGATTGGTATGCGACAGTGGCTTGCACGGGCACTGCCATCTTCCATTAAGCTTGCCACTGGCGTTGGAATCGGGCTGTACCTCGCTCTCATTGGTCTCACGTACAGTGCTGGTATTGGCTTGGTACAGGGTGCACAGGATACTCCCATCGAGCTAGCTGGATGCTACAATAGCGATGAGAACTTCGGTGATAACGGTCTCTGTCTCAGCAGTACTAAAATGCGCAGCCCGACCATGTGGGTCGGTATCTTCTGCGGTGGTGTCTTCACAGCGATGTTGATGATGTATCGCATCAAAGGCGCTGTGATCGCAGGCATCCTGCTCGTCTCTATCATATCCTGGCCCCGAACCACGCCTGTCACCTATTTCCCATACACGGAGCTCGGGACCAGCAGCTTCGACTTTTTCAAGAAGGTTGTCACTTTTCATCCGATCAAGCATACTCTCCTTGCACAAAAGTGGGATATCTCCGGCCACGGGGGCCAATTTGGATTGGCATTTATTACATTCCTGGTTAGTTCGCCTGTCTGGCATTTTCTGTTGAACACACAGCTTAACTATCTATCAGTATGTCGATATCTTGGACACAACCGGTACAATGTACTCCATGGCCCGATTCGCCGGCACCATCGACGAAAAGACCCAGGACTTCGAGGGCAGTGCCATGGCCTATGTGAGAAAAACTCCCCCGTGACTCCAAGCCATCCATAGATAACAAAGCTAATATGTTCTAGATGGTCGATGCCATCTCCATCTCCATCGGTTCGCTTTTTGGCAGCCCACCAGTCACAGCGTTCGTCGAATCCGGTGCTGGAATCTCCGAAGGCGGCAAAACAGGTCTCACATCCTGCATGACTGGAATCGCATTTTTCATCTCTGTATTCTTCGCTCCGATTTTCGCCTCCATTCCACCATGGGCAACTGGATGTACCCTTGTGATTGTTGGTGCCCTCATGGCCAAAGCAGCCGCCGACATCAACTGGCGCTACTACGGCGATGCGATCCCGGCTTTCCTTACTATCGCCATTATGCCCTTCACGTATAGCATTGCATATGGTCTCATCGCTGGAATTCTCAGCTATATCATTCTCAATGGCACAGCGTGGATTATCGAGAAGGCTTCGGGTGGCCGCATTGTTCCTCCGAACAAGGATGAGTCGGATCCTTGGTCCTGGAAGGTCCCTGGTGGATTCTTGCCGCCGTGGGTGAAACGTGCCGCGGGGGGTAAGAAGGACTTCTGGCGGCCAGATGAGGAAAGGGCCATGCCTGAGGAGTATGGCTCTTTCGGTTCATCGCAGGAGCGCGTGGCTAATGAGAAGGGCCAGACTGTCGATCCCGTTGTTGCTAACTTGAAGCCATTGTAGTTGGCGAGATGCCTTGTTGAGGGCGTTAATATATTTCGGGCGCCATGCCACGAGAACTTGTAATCCCGATGTGGATTTTGACGAAACTTGAATAGGATATTAATTCCAACTATTTACTACTATAACTGCTCCTCTTGTGTAATATTCCCTGGGCTTATTTGTAATACATCCGAACCCTAGAACAGTTGCACTGAAGCCCCAAACACCAAATGCTACCAATATCGTCCATCTAGGAAACACTCAACTTCGTATTCAAGTTTCGTAATGGCACCACCCTCATTGCCATTCTGGCCTTTCTCAAAGGCAACATATGCAATAGGCAGTAACCCCACAGACTGGAGACTGGATAAAGATACTAGGACTAGCACTAGAATTATAGTTCACAACGTTTCGCCCTGTAGCAAACCAATTTCCGAGCAGCGGGGTTTTATCTAAAAAAAGGAACTTCGTATTCTTGGCTCGATCACCAATCAGCATCATGCCCTCCCGGGCTCGTGGAGCCCATAATTATGACTAGGCATACTCGTACAATATCATTAAGCTTTGATTCAAATACAAACCCCAAGCTCTCGGTACAATGAAAGCCTTGATCCTCTGCTAATTGCCGATGGGAATACTTTTTGGTTGGCTTTGCAGTATACCTGAGAGGGGGGGTCCTTTCCTCTGCCAAGTCGTCAGTGGGGGGTTTCGTTCTCAACACATTTCTAGCAGCTATAAATCGCGAGACACATAGGCAACATTCTCATAACTATATTAGAATACGACATTTCACCCCTTGGCCACCCCGTCACCTTTGTAACACCGAGAATGACGTTCGTCTGCATGGGCAAGGTGGTTCGATGATCCTTACCCGACACAAGTAGCGATCTACACTGGGCCGCCCATGAATGTGCTATACGAGGTCTAAACGGGGTCCCATAAATACGATCAGACAATCATTGCTTTCTGAAGCTCAATAAAATACGAGGTGATTCTCCAACATAACACTTTATGACCTCGCGGCCTCTATTTAGTATGAAATCCCGCCGGACTACGCGTTGCCCACGATAACATTTACATACACCCAAGATTCATCCGATCGACCCGCCTTGATTATACAGCTCGGCACCATGCTGACAAAATTATTATATGCCCTCTCTTTCATTTCGCTGGCACACGCATGGACTTTTCTATACACTAACGCTACAAACAATGCCACAATCCTCCATGAATCTGGCACGGTGAACTGCACCAAGATCGACCTTGCAAAGGGAAAGGAATTTTCATGGGATCCTGAAGACGCAGATCTCTGTATCTCTATTTACTACGACAAATCATGCACCTCTCGCGGGGGGCTTTCATGCAACGCGTGGAAAAAGGATTCGGGAAACAGCTACGAAAGCATCCAAATATTCACAAATGATGATACTGCTTCAGCTTCAGCCTCGATATCATCTAGTCCGACTCCAACTTCAATAACCTCCTCCATTTCTATGTCTCCTACGTTGTCGGCTACAAATACCTCGACGGCGCATGCATCATCCTCGAGCTCGAGCTCGAGCTCGTCTAATCCATCTCTTTCTGGTGGTGCAATTGCTGGAATCGTCATTGGGGTCATCGCAGCCGTGCTGATAATAGGAATTATCCTCTTCTATGCAGGCAGGCGAAATCGCAGAATTGTCCCAGCCGATCCTTTTCCTGTGCAGTCTCTCCATAAGCCTACTCTATCCGATATGCAAACCGCAATGCCACCACATGAATTCGCTTTCGCTAGTTCTGAAAAGACACCCCCTCCATCCCGTGGTCGTCCAATTCCTGGATCTAAGTTGGTTGAACTGCCGGGTAGTCCCAAAAGTGCTGAGTTGGAAAATAGTCCCGTGGGCGGGATGGGAGCGGATGCGGCCAATCTGAAGTTCAATCATTTTTAGAGTATATTAAGCTTTGCTATTAGCTCCCTTTGGCGTCGTTCCTGAATATGAGCATAAAATTTGTATTTAAATCATTTTCAAACTCTAGGGTGGCCTAATTGATGCCGGAGAAATAGAGCTCAGCTGGATATATGCTATACCTGAGAATTGAGTTAAACTGTCTTACAGTGGCATTGTAAAAGTCCATCAATTAACCGCAAGTAATTTAGTAGTATAATCCTAAAAGATTCTGCTAGTCTACTTCCCATCCTCTCTAATGATATCTGCCGCCTTCTCCGCAACCGCAAAAACGGTCGCTTGAATATTTCCCCTTGGCTCCAGCGGGAAAATACTCGCATCAACAACCCGGACGTTGCTTGTTCCATAAACCTTCAATCGATGATCAACCACGCCGCCATCCTCCCGCGGCATCATAACACAGGTTCCACTAAAATGATAATTCGACATAACAAGATCTTTGCACAACTCCTTCGCTTTGTCTAGATCCAAAGGCCCGGCCGCGTGCAACCGAGCGCCGTCTTTCTTCATCAGCGACGCTAAAGGCTCCGTCTCCATAAGCTTGTTCGCCAGAAGACAATGTCTCGCAAGCAGCTCCAGATCAACGGGGCTCGTGAACGCGCCAACATCAATAATCGACGCGTCGCGGTAATCCGACGAGCTGATATGTGCCGATCCGCGCGAAAATGGGTGACTGAGCACAACGGCAATAGTCATGAATAGACCAGGGTGACTGGGGCTAAAGGCTTGGCGGGGAGTCTTCTCTCGGGAGTGAATTTGGAACGGAGCCAGGATGTATTGCCCTGTGGTCTCTTCAGGGATCTCGAGGAGCTTTACCTGGGCCTCTAATTGTTTGCGAACTGGCTTTGAAGTATTAGGATTTGTAATTGTAGCTTTGATGGTCTCTACCATCTGGTTTCGGGCTTCACGTTCAAGGCCCACACAAGGCATAAATGCCGATACGAATGGGACATAGCCCAGAGGGCCAGACCCATCTTTTTGATATGCGGCCATGGCGGCAGCTGCGAAGTCAGGATCACGGGCCATGTCGCCCGATGGAAGACCATCTGCTACTTCATACGAGTACGGGACCAGGCCGTGCTCCTGCATATTTTCGCCGACGCTCGGGTTGTTGACGATCGTGGAGACTCCGTGGGATTGTAGGATTTTCTCGTCGCCGATACCCGATAGTTCCAGAATCTTGGGGGTTTGGGTCGCTCCAGCGGCAAGAATTACTTCTTTCTTGACGGATATAACGAATCGTTCTTGCCCTCTGGAGAAAGATACACCAGTGGCAATTGCTTCGTCGCCGTGCTTCTCCAGGACAATTCTCTCCACCCACGCACCAGTCACAATTCGAAGGTTTGGTCGGGAACGAACATTTTCTCCGAGATACGCAGCAGCAGAATGGCTTCGAGTGTGTGTGGCTTGGTCGACAGCACTGGGACTGACGAAGGGGCCTGTACCAGCACCATTAATTGGGTCTTCGGTCTGCGGATATCCCAACGCCTTGAAGCTTTCCATCCATGCACTATAGTACGGCATGTACTGATCTCCGAAAGAGACCTTGACGGGTCCCCTATCGCCGACATCCTTCTGTTCATACAAAATCTGATTAAGAGTTTGTTGGCCTCCTTCCGAGGGAGGTTCTGCAGTGTGGAACTTTCGAATGTAGGGAGATAGGCCCTCCCAACCCCAACCGGGATTTCCCAGTCCCTCCCATGCGTTCAAGCCAGAGCGCGAAGGGTAAATAATCATCCCCATGTTGATAGTGGAAGATCCGCCCAGTGTGCGACCCTGATTTATGAACAGTTGCCGGCCATTTAGTTCTTTCTGTGAGGTGGAAATTAGCCATGAAGGCTGAAGTTGAATTAGATTCTTTGCACACCTGTGGGACAGAAAGATAATTCCAATCGAAATCCGGATCTTCAAAAGCCTGCAAAGATAATGCGGGGACTGTAATCCGAGGATCCCCTAGGCGATTTGTTCCAGCTTCAAGAACTAGGACACGAGTCTGGGGATCTTCAGTGAGCCGGTTGGCTACGACCAGACCAGCCGTACCTCCTCCGATAATAATGAAGTCAAAGAGATCATCGCTTAACCCACTTGTTGACTCTGTGTTGAAGTCGGCCATTTTGGGTTTTAATATTGAGCTCCAAAGGGACAAGAAAATTGTTCGACGTAAATTTCGTCTTGCGACAATGCGTGATGACTCCCGATGTGGGGGACATGGGAAACAGGAGATCGTGGATTTATAAAATCTAGGCCCCCTGTGTGTACCCCTCACAGATCGCAATCATTCACATTCTTCAAGCGGGTAGTGTTTGATCATCACAGTAAGCTGCATAAGCGCTTAGAAAGTGGCTGGGAACTAGTTTAGTAAGTGTAGTAGTTAGTAACCTAGACCAGCGAGCCGACTGACATCAGCCTAGCTGATTCTACTGCTAGGGAGGACTGAATTGAATTCAGTGAAAGCTACCATAAAGGGAGAACGAGAAGGACGATAAAAAGAGAGATGGCATGAAGTGTACGCCACAGTTGGAGAAAGATGAAAAAGGAAGACCTCAAGAGATTGAAGCTGCCAGTGACTAGCCACCAAAAGGTGCTGAGGCCGTGCGGCCTCAGGCATTAAGGCAGCAATGGCTCATAACTAGGAGGAGCTTCCTCCTTCCGCATCTATCCAATACACACACACATTTCTCCTCCGATCTCATCCTCATGATTCTAGTCATGGCTAGTTGTCAAGAAAGAATTCGCAAATAAGCTTTACCAAGGGACTAAGAACCCTATCAAGTGTCAACAAGGCGTGGACATAGACTCAGCGAGTCTGAGCCTGGATTGGGATTTATCCATTGAGCGCCGCTTTTTGGGTTGCGCGTAGATCTCGGTATGTCTCCAAGCGCGCCGAGCAGACGAGCGAGCTTGATCTGAGCGCTTTTCTTGGCTCTGTGGGTGCACTTGGCTCTGTAGGTGCACTAAGCTGGGTGTGATAATACCATCCCCCTCTATTTATTCCAGAACAATTTATTTCGATTTAAATCACGGCGTTAGTACAGTGACTTGCCCAATATTTTATATTGCTCTAAGTCTTTGTTAACTGATAGTATAGACTTCCAGGGTCGAGTCATCAAACTTTCTTGGTACTTTTAAGGGTAGCGCTAGCAGTAAAACCTTGGGGGTAACCTGGATTGATTCTACTAGTAGCAGGTATACTTCTACTAGTACTACTAATACCCCGGAGCCCTATCTAGGGATATATATTTGGGGCTCCTCGGCCCGTCCCCGAAGGATTTTGAAGTTACTGCCCTCAACTTAAATCTAAAATTAATGAAATATACTAGCATTCGTTGACTGCCAAGATGAAACTAGTTCAAGGTGGGTATATCGAACAACATGGAGCCCAACATTCATTCAGGACAGTCGCATTAAACAGAATTTTATTTGAAAAATAAATGAGCTTGGTTAGGGTAACGACGAAGGTTTTGGCAACACGGCTTTCTTTTTTTTGGCTGCTTGGTCAGCAGTGGAAGTAGGGAGTATCTAATAGTATAAAAAGAAGCAAACCTACCTAATTAGTCGACATCCTGGAAAGAGCACAGATACCATAGATTTTGTTGGTTCTCTTTATATAGTAAAGGTGTAGTTTGTTCCAATTTCAGTGAAACTACACGAGGTACTATATGGGAAGTCACTGACAAAGCGGAGGATCGATGGAGAAACGATAATATCCTGTGGGTTGGCCACGCAATGGCGAAACTCTTGGGTACACGGATTCAGGTTTGCTTAGAAAGGAACAGAAGGGTTCTTGGACGCCGCAATATTGTTCTATATCACGAAATTTGCCGATGGGGATGGCAGTCGTCACGAGTTGCGCGATTATCTCTAAGGTCTATTATTTTTTAGGATGATTTGATCGAAGCGAATGTTGCTTTCTTATATGAGCCGCTCCACTTATACGATCTAAGATAATCTCAAGGTCTGATTTCATATTGAATTTTAAATCAGCAACGAGGGAAGTGTTCCCAGGTAGCGGTGTGGTTTCAAGCCTTTGTTATGGGAATAAAATACATTGCTAGGAACTCGTTTGAATCTGGTTTGATATCGAAAATATGTGAGTTATCTGCTCAAATATTCCGAAGGGACATTCTCTTGGAAATAATCGCATCCAGACTGGAGAGCCGTGATCTTGATAGAGCTATAGTCACCGTGCCATCTCAGCAGTTATGTGAAGAAGAAAACCTTCATCCGAAGATTTGTTAAATTGTGTCATTCAAGTTGGAACCAGATGCAAAACTCTACACTGATATTGATTATCTGAGATCCATGGATTTCCTGTGCATTGAGTCTTTACAAGATATATGCAACAGCAAACTCGTTGTGAGACAGGTTCCAAAGTTGAAATTACTTACCAGTAATCAATCCCCATCAGGTCACTCACATGCCAAATGGTCTTGGCGGTGGCGCCCACCATCCCATAAAAGCAAGTGAATTTCCGCGCCAAGGCCAAATGAGCTTTTTAGCACCGACAAGGGGGTGGGGAGAGGGGGACAATACATAACAGTATGGAACCAGCGATCCACTTCGAGACCTCGAAAAGGTCGGGGGCCGGGAGGTCCCGTTTTAAAGACAATCCGCGTCCTGCAGCAAACACCCCTTGAATGCAGTTTCGTCTCGCCTATAGTTACTTCTTGAATCCTGTAATTTCCCAAATTCCCGGAACGCCAATGTTGGGTTCATGCGCACTGGCAACGGCTGCGCTGCCGGGATGGATAGGGTTGGGTATCTCGCCATTCGGGTGCGAGGTTCCAATTTCGGGCTGAGGTCGTGACATTTTGTTTCCGGTTTTTCTGCTCTTTGGGGCGAACTTCTTACTCGGGCCGACATTCGCACAAGCGAAGTGGCTACTCTCTCGAGCTGGATGGAGCCGAGCTGACAGGTCTGGAACAAGATTAGTGTTTTGTGGGGAAGAATACCCCCCGTGGAGAATTCAACACGGAGGACTGCTCCGCGCTAGTAACGGGGTGCTCTCCCCAGACTTTGGCTTTTTCCATCGACAGGAAATGGGGCGATAAATCTAATTCTAAGTATGGGGTTGCTATTGGGTGATTACTCTAAATCCTCTTTGGGAAGTAAGGAAGACATCTTATGTTTTTCAGCCCTTGGACTGCATTGATGGAAAATCTCACAACATAAGAGTATCACGGGGTACACTGCAGATCAGGAGACAAGGGCGGGACAGGACGAAACAATACTGTCTAGTTCTCCTTCAGCCTTAGGGTATTTTACTGGAATCTGATAATATGCGTATATTAAATACAGACTCCCTTCACTAGCGCGGAGCCAATCAAACAGTCTAGCTTTAAAACAAAAGAAAGGGGGCAAATCACTCCCAACCAATTGGTATAGATCAGAATGTCTTGCCCAGTGTACGGGACACAGGGCCGAACATCCAGATCCCTCCAGCTCAAGTCCTGAATCTTTTCGGATCAAGGCGGACACATCGATCGTATCTGAGCAATCCATCGTCTCACTGGAGGCTTCGCCGATTCCAATAAGGATACGGAGCAGCTTGTGCACGCCACCGCCGTGCTCGTCTGCTGCGTTACTGGGCGCAGGGATCTAGTGTCACAAGGGGAGGGGGAGGCGGCCAGCAAAACCTGGAGAACCGCATGGTCTAGCGTTTCCGAAACGGAATAGTAAGAAAAGAAAAATTAAGACAGGGTCTTTGGCGCCTATGCGAACCGATTGGATTGTATGTTTGAGCGCGAGTTTCTTATAAGAATCCAAGCTTGTCCTCCCTTCGAGGGGTTCTTGGAGAATATCGAGCCGCGTTTCAAAGACGACTGCACTCGACGACAACCCATTTCCTCGACGACCCACTATTATATTTGGCGGTATCGAAAACCGATTGGATCATGTCGGACGTTAAGAGTGGGACTCATGAGGAGGTGCACGGTATCTCCTCTGCGGTGGACTATGGGAACGGGCCTGAGAACACCCCCCAGGTGATTGCTGGATATGGAGAGACTGCCAAGCGCGAGGGCGCGAAGACAAAGGAGGTCCACAATGTGAGTAAACTTCCATGGTGATGTTGGAAACTCCTTGCTTACCCTTAATTAGGCCGAGCTCTTTGCTGCTATTGAGGAAACCAAGATTGAGCGGTGGAGCAAGACTTCCATCCACCTCTACTGTACGTTATGCACATCAAACGTCAAACTGTACGAATTACTAACACAAGTACAGTCTGTATTTTCGTCGCTTTCCTCTGTGCTTGTGCCAACGGTTACGATGGTAAGTGATCTGATTCTTTCTCCGAAAGATCCTGGCGCTGATATGTGCTTCTAGGTTCCCTCATGGGATCCATCCTTGCAATGGACCATTGGCAAGCGATCTTCAAAACTGGCCTCACAGGCTCAAAGGTTTCTGTTGTAACTTCTCTCTATACTGTGTAAGTGATGGCGCTTGATCGACGCTACTTCGATTGCTGAACTAACAAAAATTACAGCGGATCTATCGTCGCAACTCCCTTCAGCGCCGTCATTTCCGACAAGCTCGGTCGACGCAAGTGTATGTTTGTCGGTGCCTGGGTGATTATCATCGGATCGATTATCATTTCGACTGCCATGCATTTGGCTCAATTTGTGGTCGGTCGCTTCATCCTTGGTGTTGGAATCCAGATCATGGTCGTTTCTGCTCCAGCATATGCTGTTGAGATTGCCCCGCCACACTGGCGTGGTCGTGCTGTCGGTCAGTTCTATGCCGTTTCCCTGATTTGCCGAAAATTATTCACTGACAGACATGATATACAGGCTTCTACAACTGCGGTTGGTTCGGAGGCAGTATCCCCGCCGCTGCGATCACCTACGGCACAAACAATATCAGCAACAACTACCAGTGGCGTATTCCATTCATTCTGCAGTGCTTCGCGTGTGTTATGGTCATTTTCGCAGTCTGGTTTATCCCCGAGTCACCCCGTTGGCTCCTCACCCAAGGTCGGGAGGATGAGGCCCTTGCCTTCCTGGTCAAATATCACGGCAACGGTGATCCCAATGCTCGCCTGGTCCGTCTGGAGATTGAGGAAATGAAGGAGGGAATCCGTATTGACGGTATTGACAAGAGATGGTGGGACTGTAAGTTTTATCCCCAACTCTTCCTTGCTCTCCAAATCGATGGTTAATCCCTAATTCTCTATCCAGACCGGCCCTTTATCACCACCCACAGCGGCCGCTGGCGTTTCGCACAGGTCATCATGATCTCCGTCTTTGGACAGTGGTCCGGTAACGGTCTAGGATACTTCAACGCGACCATCTACAACGTCCTGGGATACACCTCTAGCTCGACACAACTGCTCCTCAACCTGATCAACTCCATCGTCTCTGCCATCGGAGCCGGAACCGCCGTCTGTCTGACCGATAAGATGCCCCGACGCCCTGTTCTGATCTGGGGAACGCTCGTCTGCGCAATTACCATGGCCATCAACGCCGCCGTTTCGCTGCCCATCGCCAACACTGGAACAATCAGCCACACCAAGGGTCAGACAGCGCTGGCCTTTTACTATCTATTCAACGTCGTGTTCTCCTTCACCTACACTCCGCTGCAGGGTGTCGTCCCCGCGGAAGCACTGGAGACGACGACTCGTGCGAAGGGACTGGCTCTTTCTGGATTCATGGTTTCTTCGATCAGTTTCATTAGTCAGTTTGCGTCGCCGATTGGTCTGGGCAATATCTCGACCAATTACTTCTGGATCTTTGTGGGTTGGGATCTGGTTGAGTCAGTTTGCTGGTATTTCTTCTGTGTTGAGTCGCAGGGTCGGACCCTTGAGGAGTTGGAGTGGGTGTACCAGCAGCCCAATCCTGTCAAGGCTTCGCAGAATCTGGATAAGATTGTTGTGCAGAATGACGGAACTGTTACAGAGAAGATTGAGGCTGATGCTTGAAGGATGGATGGACACGGGTCTTGAAATTCGGATAGGCATGTGCTCAAGTTGCGGTGGTGGTGATGGTGGTGGTGGTTATAATTGTGATGACCTTGGATAACCTTCCACAGTGGTTCACGTGAGCACGGGGTAAATAAGTTGTTGGCAGTCGAATTGGATACCATATTACTGTGTTTAGGTACTAGTGCTGGTCCTATGGTGCTATAGTACTCTTATTACTTTTTAATAAAGCTCTTCTAAAAATATTGTTCGCAAAAATGTACTCGTACTAGTTTGGGCGTATCAATTTGGGTACATAGCACCCGGGCATATAACTACTAACTAACTATCACTTCTAGTACTAGTTAGTAGTTAGTAACTACTAGTATATATGTGCAACCCTACTTATATAACCCTAAAATAAAATAAAATAAGTAGAAATAAAGTTGTCATCGGTCTAATAACGATGACTAGCACTTGACTCAATACTCCAACGTCATCGCACGTGTAGAAGTGGAAGACGGTGATTGGCTGTGGTGAATCTGGGGGATACAAAAAAGAAATGCAAATCCCAAATCACGCGGGGTGATCTGCTGCCCTACTGAATTTGTCAAAGTCAGGCAGATCTTTATTATTTATTGATCTTTCTCTCTCCATCACTTCCTCTCTCTGTCTATCCTATTTCTACTGCTACCCTCCTCTTTGTGCCCAACTGTGTCCCTGCCAAGACATTTGATAGTGCAGCCCTGTCTGACTCAGCATTCGTTGATTGGCTCCGAACAGACCGAGTGACGTGACCCCCCGATAAGATCGGACCTAAATTTCCATTGGCTTTTTCCACCTTTTTTTTCCCTTGAGTCTTTTGATCGTGATCTATCTGCCAGCTTTGGTGCCTCCCCCTCCATGCTGCTTTGAACCTGGTCAATATGTTGACCCTGCTGGGCCTCATCACTGCTGCTGCCACCGCGGTGGCAGTCCCCCCTGGAGCAGCAGCAGCAACGGCCCCTCGCTCCTGTGGACGAGTTGACGCCACACCCAGCCGCATCTACAGAGGCCCAACCCCAACCCCAACCCCTAACAGGGCGCTTTCTACATATCACCGGTACGTGGAAACCCAAGGGGACTCATGATCGCGTGATAATATGACACTGACGGGAACCCGACCCACATCTATAGATTTCCACCCCGACCGGTACTACAAAGCGGGTTCTTCACCCGACGACGGTTCATGCCACCACGGCAAAGGCAAAGCAGGATACTTTGGACAAGATGGATCGGACTGCGACTCCCCGCTCGTCCTGGTAGACGAGACATTCCGCTGGATCAAAGACAACATCAAAGATGAGATCGACTTCGTGATCTGGACCGGTGACTCAGCCCGCCACGACAACGACGAAAAAAATCCCTCGCGACGAAGACGAAATCCTCGAATCGAATCGCTACATGTCACAGAAATGGGTCGATCTATTCGGAACCCATGACTCACCAGATCGCTCCGCGGGTCGTCTCTCCGTCCCCGTGGTGCCTACATTCGGCAACAACGATATCCTCCCACATAACATTTTCCGCGGCGGCCCGAACCCCTGGACGAAGAAGTTCGATGAGATTTGGGCTGATTTCATCCCCGAGGATCAGCGGCATAGCTTTGTTCAGGGCGGTTGGTTTACCAGTGAGGTGATTCCTGGCAAATTGGCCGTCATTAGCTTGAACACGATGTACTTTTTCGAATCTAATAGTGCTGTCGATGGGTGCAAGGATCGATCTGAGCCCGGGTATGAACACATGGAGTGGCTGCGGGTGCAGCTGCAGATTCTGCGCGAGCGTGGCATGAAGGCTATCCTGATGGGTCACGTTGCGCCTGCGCGCTCAGACGAGAAGACCAACTGGGACGAGACTTGCTGGCAGAAGTATACGGTGTGGATGGATCGGTACCGGGATGTGGTTGTCTCAAGTCTCTACGGGCATATGAATGTTGACCACTTCGTCCTGCAAGATAGTCACGCCGCGGACGCGGATGAGCTGTCGGAGAAGCAGAGCGATGGTACTGTCTCTGCCATGTCCAAGTCGGACTACCTCGTTTCTTTGCGGGACCAGTGGTCCGATCTGCCATCTGTACCAGCGGGCTTGGACAGCATTCAAAAGATGGAAGACTTCCTCGAGGCAAACAAGAAGAAGGGCGGGAAGGGCAAGGAAGATAAGAAGGAGAAGAAGATTCGCAAATACTTGAAGAAGATTGGAGGCCCGTGGGCTGAGCGATACAGCGTGTCGTTGGTTTCGCCCAGTCTCGTGCCGAATTTCTTCCCGACGCTGCGCATGGTGGAGTACAACCTGACGGGGTTGGAGAATGTCGGCCAAACCGACGAGTCCGCCTCCGTCCCGCAGCAGCTATCCGATCTATATGATTATCAGTCGGGCCACGATTCGTCGGTAGACACGCAAAAGAAGAAGAAAAAGAAGGGCAAGGGCAAAGACAAGGAAAAGGGAAAGAAGAAGCCCAGCTTCAGGGCGCCCGAGCCACCATCCTCCACGGCCCCGCCTGGCCCAGCATACTCCAACCAGGCGTTGACGCTGTTGAGTTACACGCAGTACTATGCCAACCTCACACGACTTAACGAGGAAGCCAGTCAAGCGAAGAAATCCCCACGCATGGAGTTCGAGGTGGAATACACCACGAACGACGATGTTTATGATATGAGTGACCTCACCGTCCGCAGTTACCTAGAGCTTGCGACCCGGATCGGGGAAGCTGGGGAAGTCTCGAGCCAGAAGAAAGGCAAGGTCAACGCGGTTTGGCGAGCGTTCTTGGAGCGGGCTTTTACAGGGTACATGGATGTAGACGAGCTGGAAGAGAGCTTTTAGAAGGAGGGATGACTGAGTTGAGGCTCTGTCACTGCTCTGTCACTATCACAGTTGACTTGCATAGATTGATTCATTATTGGGAGCATGCATATTGGGGTGTTTTACATTTGGCTGGTCGACACTTAGCTGGCCGGTAGTAAATAGGTAAATAGCATAGTCATGATTATTTTCATTATGGTTCATATTCATATATTACTCCATACCGACTCCGCACTCTACAGGCTATAGAGTACTCCGTAACTACTCTCTCTCTCTCTTCTGTCTACTGTCTACTCTCTAATTATGTCATTGTGGCGGTGTGGTCCATCGGGCGGTGAACCGTGGTTCATCCCAGCAGTTACCAAACTTCAACTTCAACTTCCTTTGTATACACAATTCTATTCATCTGAACTACGACTATATCTATTGTTCACAGTACACTCTGTACTCTGTACGCTGCGAAATCAGGATATCCTGCAACTGGTCGTCTGGAATACCAATTCCCATCTGAACTGCCGCAATCCATCGATCCACCCGCAAGCAAACATAACGCCACTGCCAGCGTGGCAGTCCGTGCTTCCAACTTGTAATTTGCTTGGATCACGCACTCGACGACTGCCACGTAGCTGCCTGAGCTGGTCAATTTGAGGCGATGAGGGCTATTTAGAGCGACCTGAGGCGGCTCGGGGGCGGCTCGGTGGGTTAATTATATCATTGTGATGTGGAGTTTGCAGTTGACACTGCCAGCTGCCAGCTGGAGGTTAGCAGGTAGCTGATCTAATCACCAGGGTGAGACAAGATAGATCAAATACAGTACGAGTAAAATATAGTTATTAGTATAGTTACAGTATAGTAGAGTGTCGGGTATCTTTTAGTGGGCCCGCCTTGCCTCGACTCCCCCCGTCCACTGTCCACCTTCCACTTTCCACCTTCCTTTCCACCGTCCAACTTAACTTCGCCTTCTCAGCTCTTCGCTGGACTCATCGCATCCGAGTCTTCTATTACCATACTTCACTCGCTAATCCAGCCCTGCCCAATTCCAAGGTCAGCTCCACCGCTCTCGCCTCGTTCTCCGCTCGTGCCCGACTTCTTCCCCGCACAACGCGGTGGTGCGTTGGCATCGGAAATTGCGAATTGAAATCTGCTTCCTCTTCCTCTTCTCGAGCCCCCCTCGCGTCTCTCGCATAATGCATCCACTTGCTCTCTCTCTTCGTCCTTGTGCCTTGCGTTGCTAGCTCCGAGCCGCGAGCTTTTCGGCCGATCCTCCTCGATTAGCTGCAGCCAAACGATCCATCAACTCCCACTCGAGATTGATCAAATCCACCATACGGCCGCAATTACCCTAATCAATAAACAGTATTAAAAATACACCATCGCGGAACCGGCCACGACCGACCAATACCGATCAAAGTCCAGACTAGATCAAGATCAAGATCAAGATACTCGGAACGGGTCCGAATTGTGGGGTGAGCCCACTGGGGCAGAGCGCACCGACTTCCTCTCGACTTGAATCAGTCAGGGGCGAAATCAATTCGAATTGATCCAACTGATCGCTTTTATACTGTGGACGCTGCATGATTGTGTAGGACCGGTCACATTCGCCGCGCGATCGTCGTCCTCGTCTACGCGCTCGGATGTGCACGCGCTGTGTTTGAATCCTCGTTTGCGCGCGCCTCGTCTGGTGAGTCCTTGTCTGCTTCGTTTTTGCCTCGATTTTTTGCTTCCCGGCCACATCATTGCCCAATTCCCTACTCAATCGTCCCAATTATGCTGCCCCCGTCACAGAGGCCATCTATTCCTCCTGGGATACCCATCGAACCCGATTTACAGATCACTGACCACAATGTCGCAGCCTCCGCGTCACTGGCTTTATGGATGGCATCCTCCGAGGTGGATCAGAAAGCCTTGGGCAATTTCGCGGCCGTAATGGCCCTCGAAAATCCCCTGCTCTCGGCCATGCTATACAAATCTCTGGGCCTCTCGGTTATGCTCTCCAAGAAACTCCTTCGCGCCCGCCGATTGCGCCGCCTTGACAATACCCGCGAAACCAAATCGCTTCAATTGTACTATCACATCATATGGCTTGCCCGAGAAGGGCTGTTAATACTTGAGGGCTATATCCTTCCCATGGTCTCACGATTCGTCGAATTGAAAGTTCTCTCTTACAAACTCCGCGCCTCATTCTATCATATATTTGTTCTCTTCCACAATCGCCCCGTGGTCCAGCCGACAGATCCGCAACCACCAACTCTTACGAAGCACGACTCGATTTATGGCGAAGAATCACTATCCGCCCTACGTGGACACAATCCATCTCAACAACCCAACAAGACGTCTGTCCCGCCCGGCCTTGCTCCAGTACTACCACCTCAACCAGCCACCTCATTCCTCCTACCCCCACTCGACTACACAGCCACTGCAACAGCATGCTTCAACCATGCATCCCTCCTTGCTGACAAGCTTCTCCCTGGCTCGCATCCACTCCGACTATCTGTGAAACTGGAATATGCCGCCTATCTCTACGACTGCCTCCAAGACCCAATCGCCTGTCGACGCCTTGCCAAACACGCCATCGCCGACGTCTACAACGCCCAAGAAGGGATGGACGACGAGAGTTTCGAAGATGCCGCCGAAATCGTGGGCGTTCTGGGAAAAATGGTCAAGCGGAGCGGAAAAACCGGCAGCACTAGTACGCCAGGCAGCACGACCTCACACGGAGATCTGTCTCGAAGTCGCAGCAGTCGCAGCCCCTCGCATCTTGATACCAGTCTACCAACGACAGTCTCGCCGGTTCCTGTCACCAAGTCCACACCCGTCAGCGCAAAATCATCGACTGTGGCTGTCTCGACTTTACCACCTGCCGTTCCGAACGTGACTATGATGAATCCGATTTAATGGATGTTACGATATAGAAAAGGCGATAGGCGTTTGCTCTGATTTTTTGACTCAATATTTCTCTTTCTCTCTCTGTCTCTCTTCATTCCATGGGATTTGGTCTGGGAAAAGAGTGGTCTTTTGAACTTATTTCTCGCAATGTACATACGTCATGATGAACCCTATATGCCTTGTCCCTTCTTTGTCTAGGATCGCTCAGTACTTCTTGGGCAGTACATACCCACCAATACTAACAAAGAACTGCATAGCAGTAGATAAGAACTGCGCCACATCCTCGCCAAGCCAGGTAGGGATAAGCTTCGCACGCGACGATTCCAGTTCTCGCAGAAACTTGCCAGCAACCTAAATAAATAGCCGGTAGTTAGCCCTCGTCAAACCAGCTCAACGCGATATTCAAGCACATTAAAGCTTAGTTGACCAGGAGAGAAGCAGAATTTACTAACCAATAAACAATCCCCATTCCTCCCCTCATCTAACGCAACAAAAGCAATAGCCTCAGCCACCCGCTCAGGCGTATTCTCCTCTAGTCCACGTTCGCGCCATCTCTCCGTAAATCCCGCCGTGATATGCGTCGGCGTCAGGAACGGCGCAATCCCATTAATTCGAATTCCCAATTCACGACCCTTGCCCTGCCCTGCACGAAGGAGTCCTAAAACACCGTGTTTCGAAGCAACGTACGCAGCGACTCCGGTTCCGCCAAAATAGCTTGATGAGGACCCTACCAGGATGATCGATTTGGATGACGGCGGCGAGGGAGACTGGGATAAATAGAAGAGTGCGAGTCGAAGTGCTAGTTGGTAAGTAGTACGCTGTTAGTTGAATAGAATCCCCTGCCAGCACATTCAAGTTCCATGTCGATACGAACTATTCAAAGTCCCCCTCAGATTAACATCAAAAACTCTCTTCGCTTCAACATCCTCCTTCAACTCCCCATCGTCATCAACCTCGAAATCCAACACCGATCTCGACTCCATAATCCCCGCGTTAGCAACAACGATATCAATCCCACCAAATCTTTCCACGGTCTTCTTAAAACAATTTCTCAACTCATCCCAGTCGACGATATTGCCTTCCACAAAAGTCGCTCGACTGGGATCGGCCAGGTCATGTTGAATGAATTGTTCCGCTATCGAGCGGAATTGCGCTAGGTCTGCTAGAACGACATTAGCGCCGTGGGCATTGAATTGTTTCGCTGTTGCGGCGCCTATGCCGCGCGCTGCGCCGGTTATTAGGACTGTTTTGTTGGTGGCTGTTGAGAGGATGGATGGGTCTATTGTTATGTTGGACATTGTCGGGTTGTTTGGTGATTGGGCCTGAGTAGACTGGGATTCTTGCTTTTGGGTTGTATACTAGTTTCACAGAAACGGCGGGGAGAGATGGGTTGTTGAAGTTGTTTGTTCTTTCTATCCTTTCCAGATTTTATTTGAGGGGAAATAGGGGACTCGGCTTGCATTCATGCGGAGATTGATATACCCTAGGCAGTGCATCTGCGGGGCTGCGTCGATGGCATCATATATCCGGGTCTTGTGTGGGTTTCCGGTATGGAATTTAGTGAGTGGTGGTGGGGAATTTGGCGATCGTCGGAAAAGCACATCATTACCTTTGATGGAGATATTCTTTTGGCTTCTGATTGCGTTTCCAAGGTTAGACACTGTATTTTGCTCGTGCTCTCAGATTCACTCATAGAACGGCGGCGCATAGCAGCAATCAACCTAGTCTTTCTAGATGCACTCCAAGGTTATTAAACACATTCGGTTCTCAATTTGCAGAATATCCAATCATGCGTCCAGATTCAACTCCCCATGCAAAATATATTAAATTATCATCCTGTTCTCCAATACTTCAATGCGTATCTTCTTTTTCTTCGCTTTTGGGAATGCGAACGAAGAACATACCACATGGTTGGACTGATATCGTTACTCTAGTTCGAATCGGAAAACTTCAATATTGGAAAAATGTATGAAGGATATTTTCGTAAATCGGCCAATAAGTGATTTGTTGGAGATTCGTACGGCCCTGAGCAAATTATGGAATACGCCGATCGGAATCTCTTGAGGGTACTTAGACTCCCTTATTTTATTTCATCCTGCCGCTCCTATTCGCTAAGATTTGTCCGAATTACTTGATTTTCTTTATCTATCACTCATACAAGACTAAACAGCATAAGAAGTTATTAGGGTCAAGATATTGTCAAAGCGTAATGCAAAATTATCTTTATCATTCAATCATTTTTCATAAACATCATATCTATCCCCAATGCCTCTCACTAACTAATTCCAGTCCGACATGGAAGCACTCCTCACAAAAGAGGCATCGTAACCCGATTAGTATAATCAACATTCTCCTTCACACTCTCAATTCTCTCATGACAAGTACCAAAAATCCTATCCCAAAGCCTCGTCTGTTTCCCATAATTATGACTCTTCCGCCACCCATACCGATGATGCAAATCGTGATCCTCAATAACAAGCTCCGCATCAAAAAGCTCCAACAACCAATTCAACGTAGACGGTGCCCCACCATGAAGCCTCAAGCCACTGTGCCCAATAAATTCCGAAAAAGCAATATACTGGAAACAAATCCACCACTCATAAAAGCCCATCGGTAGCCCCATAAGCTTCATCGTTCCATACGCCATGAGCGGGATGCCGGTTATATCCATAAACTCTTGCTCGTGATCAGCGTATGCTGAGAGGAGGGGATTCGGGTGCTTTGTGAGGTGGTGTCGACGATGATATTTCCACAGTGGACCCGTTGAGTGCATCATGCGGTGATACCAGTAGAACCAGAAGTCAACGGTGATACTGTAAATACCGATTTCCAGTGGTAGCCATTTCCATTCGAGAGACGAGGGCGTTTCATTCGGTTGGTAGGTGAGATATATCGCCATTATCATGCGGAAAGTGGATGTGGAAATGAGTTCCCGAATGACTTTTCCAACGCCGACGTCGGGGATTTCGTCTCGGGGGTGCTTGTCTCCATCTAGGAATCCGTAAACTTGACCGAGACGTCGCATGATATGCATTTCATGGATACCGTTTAGTTTGAATGCGGTGGAATATAGCCCGAATGCGGCGAGGAGACCTAGGTTTTGTCCGGTGTAGGCTGTGTAGGCGTGGTGCAGGGCGAGTGGTATCATGGCGTGGAGTACGATCCATAGGTGAACTGTCCATTCGCGGATGGCGGGTATCTTTTCTTTCTTGGAAAACACTGGTACTTTGCCTTTCAGGTCGATGAGGTGTAGGCCGAGAAGTTCTATCATCCAGTGCCATGGACCCCACTGAGCTCGATCATGGCGCCAGGTGGATACCATGGAGTCAGCAGGGTTCCGCTTGACTGTTGCGGTTTGGGTAGACATTTTGAAGTTGGCCCTGATGTGTATACATCCGCAAAATGAGATTCCTACGGGGGCGAATCTATCAGATTCTTATATAACTGAGAGCGCCCTGACTTCAACCTTACTACACGAACATGTGAGATCATGATCGCCACTCACAACGCCCAAGCAGGAGACTTTCAAGCAAAGTCTACAAATCTCGACAAATCAAACGACAATATGGAGACGCAGGGTCCGTCCTGAAAATGTTGGGGTTCGCTAAATCTCCTTAGCGCGGGGGATCTTCGAGACTTGTGATTGAGAAGCCTGCCGAGGCCCCCGGATAGTCAAGACGGAGTAGGCGGGGAAGGTCCACTTATTCCGGGGAAAATAGTACAATGACTAGCGGTTTTTATTTATGATCCGTCTGTCATGAGCCCGTGTCAATATACACGATATTTCGCCCGGGTATCTCGATCGGATTTTGATAGCATATAGGCATTATGTGTTTCGACCGAATGCCAACGCCACTCTTTTGAACTTTCAAAAAGGCAACAGTTTTTCTTTTCGGACCCTCTCTCGATTCAGGAACTCCTGCGAGTTAGTTACTAGTTTAGTACTACTCTAGTACTTTGCAATATAGAGTTGAGTCGTTGGGACATACGTATCCCCTAGCAACTCCGGGCTACCTTTCTATAAAGTAAGCACGCAGAAGAGTATTATGTGCGGGTTTCACGTAACAATCTCGTTATGTTCCAAACAGTCGTATTTACATCATAGTTTCAAGGTAGTCTACCAATTCAGTCCATTTTCCGACGATCTGCCGCCTGGGTCTCATGCAAACTCAACCTTGAGGCATTTCTCGCTGGCGACGTAGCTCTGGATGGAGCCCGCGATGTCATTCTCGACTCGGCAATCCTCGAGTCCATCGTGCTCACAGCGTGGAATGAGAAATCCAACTCACCCACCAAGCCTTTGACATGTCTACAGCACGTAATTAGTAAACCAATATGACACATATCCTGGTAAGGAAAAACTTACTTCATGAGACGTTCCACATCTCCAACGATACATCTTGTGGAAATCTGCAGAACTGCAAATGCAGCGAAGCCCGGCTCGGCGATATGCTTGATGCTGAGAATATCTTTATCCAGTGCTTCCAACCGCTTCGAGAAGCTGTATGGCCTGGGTGTTTTCAGGTATGGAGGAAGGGGTTGGCGATTGGTTATACTAGCCGAAAGGAGGCAAAGTAGCGATGTGACCTCGTGAGTTGTAATCTTGGCGTGGCCAACCACGCGGCGGAAATCATGCATCCAGATAGAATTTGATGCGTCGTCATCTTCATTGAGACGCATCAGAGTGTCTGAGGCGTACCCGAGTAAGCTGAGATAGCTTACAATACTAATAGAAAGGTTTTGGTCAGTACATTTTGGCTGCATGGATGAGGTGCTGCATACTTTTCAACGCAAACAATGATGGAGTCATATTGCTTCTTGGGAAACCTGCCGCCAATGGGCACTTCCCACCGGAGGAACTCGGAGTAAGTTCGGAGTCCGTTCAGCATGAGCATCTGTTTAGAGAACACCTTGTGGCGCGCCTTTTCCAATTTGCGCCCCGCGGAGGTTTTCAAATTGAGGTCCCCCTCATCTCCGCGCATCCGAGCAGACAATGTCTCGTGAATGATGGAGTAATAGTTCGCAAGGAGATAAAGTGAAGCCCCCAGGCTCTGCCTCAAAACAGAATGCTCCGAGATAGGGTAAGGGAAGAAAGTCCACAAGAACGCAACCGCAATACCTCCACTGACGGTAGCGAGTCGGTATGGGGCAAGCAAGTATATAGGATAGAATGGCTGACCATTGGATGTCGCGACTTTCTCGCCGACCTTACGAACCTGAAGCTCGTATCCAATGATCATAGTAGTGGTAACGATGCTGATGATGCCAATGACTCGGAATCGGAACATTTTGATCGGAACGTAGAAGGCACACGAGATGAAAAAGAAAAGCAGCACAATCACGCCTGGTGTCTTTTGGTCCGGAATGTACCAAATCAGCAGACTAGCCACCATTGCGATAGTGGTTCCCGCGATTCGGAGAATAAAGCTGAAGATACTCTGGCCTGATGTGGGAGACATACTCAAGTTCACCATAATCATGGCCCAGACCAGTCTTTGCTTTGTGAAAAATGACTGCGTGTCGTGTAAAAAGGCGACAATTGCGATGGTCATAGTGGCACAGGCAACCCTGAACCCATACTTTGATTCAAAAGAACGTAAAAACCAGGGGAAAACTCGAATCTTGTCTCCGAATCTCTCGAACCAGGTATCGGCTGGCAAATGCTCAGGATCTTTGCGATGTCTATACGCTTCGCCGAGCTCCAGCATACTGTTGTGGGTATGAACATCGCCCATGTTGTCATCTTCGTGGTTATCTTCAGCTTTCAGAAAGCTCTTTGCCCATTTCAATGAGCGCTTGGCTCCCGGTATAATGAGGCGAGTCCGTGATAGCTTTCCTTTAGCAGCAACTTCGTCGGCATACTCGACAAATTCGAAGACTGTTTTACCAGTTGAGTAAAGCAATTGCTCCATCTAAGAGTTGATCAGCCTCGCGATTTTCAGGGACAGCTTGAGGTGACTTACGTATAAAAATAGATAAAGCTGTCGTCGACTTCGATCTTGATGCGATGCTGATGCGTCAAAAAAGTCTCCCTTCAAACTGTTGACTGATGATGGGTGGTCAAAAAAGTCAGGAGGTAGATTGATGCCTTTATCTTCAGCCCAGGTCTCCAAGGCAATTCGCTTAGCACTTCTAAATTCGTTGAGCTTCGTTTGAAAATGTTGAGCGAAACCTGGTTCACCAGGGGCTGTATTTTCTGCATCCGCCTCCACGTCCTTCGCTTCTGTGTTTGACTCAGTGGCAGGTGGATTAAGATTCACCACTGCCGTTCGCTTGGGCGGCTTTGATAGTCGAAACACATAAGCAGTGTGTAGGAGCCCCTCATCAATCGTCTGGATCATAGTCTTGAAGGGGTCATGGACCGCCCTCATAATATCGTTCCAATCGTGAACCACACGCTGGCGAACATCGTCGGGGATTGGCTCGGCATTCGGATCGATGGGTATATTCCACCGGTTATAATCCGATAATCTTTGGAAGATGTCCACAACAAAGCTAAGGCCGACAACAGGAATCATAATCTGGCGCAGGTGGCGAAATATCAGCTGGATATCATCAGGGCCTAATTTCCCCAGGGCAATTTCACGCTTCGCAAAAGACAGATCTCCGTGAAGTTTGGCATGAACGTCGGTGATTTGTCGGATGGCACCGCGGATGGCCTCGGCCTCTGGACTATACACCTTTCCCTTGTCGTCGGTCTTCTCTTGCGTGTCGTCATAAGTGTCCGCTCGGCCAAACATATCGTCTTTTTCTAAAGTCTCAAAATAGGCGGCATGTGCTCCCAATGCAGAGCGAAGTGTCCCGATATAGCCACCCATCTGCTTGAAGACAGCCTGGCGAGAGGTCATGGGCAGAATCAGCAATGAAACACCCATGGAGATGGCGAGGCCCGTGAGGAATGTTCGCAAAAGCCGTTCGATCAAGGCGATGGCGGCAGTCATTGAAGCCATCTCAGGCGCGTAGACCGAAGTAATATTGGCGAAGATGGCGTATATGATAACAGGGAATTGAAACTGGGGGTACTTGGCACGAAAGGTGTGTACCAGCCAAATCTGGAAAAACAGCCAGACGCCACTGACAGCAGATGCGGAAGAGTTATAAGAGTCATTAGACGCGGTGGCCGTGTGTTGGCGGGCCTTGACGCTGGAGTACATCGTCAATAGCGCGAAGCACGCTGCGACGCATACCGCTAGGACATCAAAGATCATCATCTGAATGAACTTGGCACGGGCATGATCGAAAACCCCAGAATGGAGACGATTGCGACGAGGTAGCCGAGCGTGGTATACTCGGTCGCGACATCGCTAGACTGATAACTGTAGGGGCAATGTTAGGCTGACAGGCAGCTTACATTTCGGGTGGATGTTGGACCTACATAGAGACTGCGATTGTCGGTGCTACTCCACCTCTGCAAAAAAGTCAATTAGCAAGTTTCTTTTACCCAATGGATTTAGGCAACGTCTATGCGCGTTCTCACTTCAGCATCAACAAGATGGTCGGCTTGTCGAGGCCGGATTTCTGCCATATTTTCTTGAGCCAGCCACCCAGGGTCTGTTTCTCTTTGGTAGTTGCCTGAGTGTCCCTTCGCGACAATGGGGGACTCGATGAGTCTACCGACGATCGCGAGCTTGTGCGCGACGGCATATTTGGTGGCTGCACGGATAGGCGCAGGCCTGCAGCCAGTAGGATTCAATCTCTTAGCAACCGGCGCGGTCAGTCGGCATGGCCGATTGGATGGGACGCGACCCCGAGTAATGTGCTATGTGCAATACGCGACGGTGAGACTCTGAGTGCGAGGAAGTCAAGCCAAGCCAAGTCGCGATGTGATGCCAGGGTGTATCCGAGGTCCGAGTCTCTTGGGGAAGGGGAAATTGAGGGGAGAAATTAGACGCGGGCGGGGAAAGCTAAAATGGCGAAGAAGGCGCAGAAGTGGAGACGACAGACGCGGGCCTAATTTGGCAGAAACCCGAGCTACCAGTCATAAGCATTATGACACACATAAGCATACTATATACTGCATAGTATATACTAGAACAAATCAGGTAAAAAGTGACGACGGAATCTTACTGTCCAAACTTCGTCTTTTCTTTCCAGGTTTTTCGGGCCGACATGCATGAGTCCATCTCACTCTACACCGCCAATACATTCGGCAACACTCTCGGAAAACTCTATATCGGTTTACCGCTACTTCGGAAGAGGATAGTGTTATCAAAAGTTAACTGCCAAAAAGTACAATAGTGGTCACGAGAAATAATAATTTCAAGTAGCCCTGCAGTATGATGGAACTATATACTGGGAGAGACGAAAGGACGGAATAAAAAACATGATGGGAGATATATGCAATGGAGGAAATCCACGCTATATTTAACCAATCTAATGACAAACGATGGCGTGCATTGGGTACATCCGAGGCTGGCTGAAAGTGATATACAATGAAGGCAAGGAAGGATAGTAGTAGTATCCTGGTCCTGCATGTATGATATAGTATGAAATGTGGAGCTGACACGCACCTAGGCCTGAGGCCGACCAGCCTCAGTGCTATAAGTATCGGTTACCCCTTTTAAAAAGGCTCATCTGGTTTTATGACAGTTTTTTTTCCATCTTTGAACAAGATATATCAAAATGACAATGGCCGCACCGATTGAGTCAATGGCCCATAACGCTCTTCGAAAATCAATCCTGGGTCAAACGATCATTATCCCGAGTATTTACGAGACCTTTCCAGATTGGAAACCTCGACTTCATCCGGATTATCAAAAAGCACGCTATGAAGTCCTCAACCCGTGGATTCAAAGGTCAGTCTAGATATTTTCTCAGTATCATCAATCTATGCGTCCACATGAAACCTGCTGATATATTTTAGGTGGGTGAAAGACAGACGTACTGCTGGCGCACTTGAAAATGCGGACTTTGGAACTTTTGCCGCAGTCTGGTGTCCAGATGCACCGTTTGATATCCTCTGCACGGCAGCTAAGTATTTTGCTTGGGTTGGTCTTCCTTGGAACTGCGTCATATGCTATAACTGACCCCTATATTTTGTAGTATTTTGTGTATGACGACAGTATGACTTTCTGGACCTCTTTTTCCTTTCTTTTCAGATCAGCTGACAATGGAAATTCAATATCAACCAGTATTCGACTGTGGGTCTCTAAAGTATAATCAAGCCCTTGCTAGCAAGTACAGAGCAGCCAGCCTTCAATATTTCAGGTTTTCCCTCCTTGGAGAGGGCAAAATGCCCGATCTAACTTGTTTTGATATCGATATGCGAAACGGTCTACGGTGTTGGGATGAGATTGGTGAACATATTTGTCAAGCCTGCTCCAGATGTGAGCTTCCACTCAATACCCTGAAGAATACTTCTGATGATTAGTGCGCTGACTCGAATAAAGCAACTCGTGAAGTTTTGTGTGACGAGATGTTACGGTACGTCGGCAGCCTCAACAATGTGGACAGTATTTTCGCAGTCCACGAAGTCCCCACAGTTGAGCAATACTGGGACCGCCGGGAGGCTACCGCTGCAGCCTATTGTGTGATTGCTACACTTCCGTATGAAATCCATTTTTCAGCCTTCCGAGTTCTCAAGAGAAATGGCTGATTAAGTAAGGTTTATCTACGGAGTGGATATTGATAAAACAGATTTGGAAGACCAATCTCTGCGGGACCTGTGGAAACATACCTCTCATTTCGTTCATATGTCAGTCATTCAACCTTTTTCTCAAGGGTAATTTTGACTAAGATTACCAACCAAACTATAGAACTAACGATATGCTCTCCTTCCGGAAAGAGGTGGTACGTACCAACCCCAGTTTCTAAAAGCGATCTTGAACTGATACATGGCAGAACGATGATCAAATTGAAAATTTGATTCCTGTTTTGATGTTAAATAATAAAATCGACTGCAACACCGCAATGGGTCAAAGCTATCAGTTGCTTCATAATGAAGCTGCAAGCTTTCGTGAGGCCGAAATGCACCTCGTCCAAAACCCCCAACAAAAGACGGCAGTCGTCTCGCATATCTTTATAGAAGGATGTCTCAACGTCGCAATGGGTCTTGCTCACTGGAGGTGAGATCACAGGTTCAAATAATTGGAAAGCATCACTGACAATATTCCTAGTTATACGGGTGATCGGTACTTCAAAGCTTGGGAGCGGGAGGAAACCAATGTGATAAAATTGACCCTCGGACCTCCCAATATCCAGGAAGGGGCAGTTAATCATGCAGAACATCCGACAATTTTGATGGATGACACGCTTTTGTTACAGTCCTCGCTTAGGCGTGCGTTGCTTAATGCTGTTCAGTTTAGTCCTTTGATCATGTTGACCATTGCAACTATCGTACCGCGGCTGGGGGTCTTGCTCCCTTCCCAAGGAGCATGACTAGCCTCATTTAACCAAGTTTAAACCTGACTGTCCAAGATTTAGCTGGTGAACAACATTGTAAAAATATATTTCATCCCGATTCGGAGGTCGTTGTGTGCCAGTGTTGTATCTCTATTTCCGTGCTAGTTCAGATCATGGTCCCTCAAAGTCGGTTTATGCTCATCATGATAACCTGAAATACTGAATATCGAGGATTTCCAAGGTTTGTCGAGAAGCAACATTGCCTTTGGCCCAATGACTACGGCTTGACATGTTTGGTTATAACAAGCCGCTAGCCGGTCATGATTGATTGTGCCTAATCAACACTTTCAAAGTTTTGATTCTGTAACCTACTATCGAATGAATCGATCCCTAGGTTCGCTCTTGCACCTGATGCAGAAGGTATTAGTCTATCAGATATGATAAATTATTCTGAATGGGACCAAATAAAAATGCGATATCTATTACAACAACCGTGCGGAGAGTTTAGACAGTGGAATTTCCAAACTTGGGACGCTTTTACAACATTTGTCATTGGCAACATTTGCTGAAAGAGTCGGTTTGTCGGAAAAACTCTCTACTAAGTTTAACCGTGTTCCAGGTGCATCGGTGAACGAATTACGGATCAAATCGCAGGAGGACTTGAAACAAAGTCTTCTGGGTATCAAACTCTCACGAAACGATTTTCTCGCTGCATGGTATTTGAAGACCACTTATTCCCCCCAGGCTTTGTCTCGGTCTCATAGATCGGTGGATTATCACGGAGCTACTAATTACTATCGCCTTTTTATCAAACCAACTGGGACTGGGACATGTTATCAATTCGTTTTATTCCGGGCAATATTTTAAAAATATGAAATTGGTCCATACTCTAAAGCTTCGTTTTGACTTCCAAAGCAGCCCGTACAAGCCTCACTGCAGCATCGGCACATCCATATGATGATTGATATCCTGCACCCCCAGCGCCATAGTTGTGTACAACCCATAAATTACCCACTTTCTCTTTTTCAATTCTTGTGCCTTCTTCTCGAACAGGCCTCAATCCGACACCATGGCGGATCACATCAAGGGCTTCAATCCCCATTCCCCTTGTTAACTCCGGACAAACTTGGACGGCACGCTTCATGATCCGTACTGCTAGATTGGGATCTGGCTGAGACTCCCAGTTACCCTTCTGGTACGATCCACCAATGACCGTGCCCCCACCGGCAGCCCTAGCCATGATATAGCATGCCTCCTCGTCCCCATCATCCGTTCCTGAAAGGTTAACCATTTTTTCCACTTCGTTGCGAACAATAACGATTTGTCCACGAGCTGCGACCACAGTTTTGTCTTCTACTCCGCCAAGCTTGGAAGCCATCAGACCGGTGCAGTTGATAACAAGGTCAACATGACCCGATGGATGGATGTTGAGGGAAGAAGCCTCGGAGATGTGGCGAAATATGGCTCTTTTGAAAGTAACCTTATTTTCAAGGCACTTCGAAACCAGCCATGGAAGATAGAGAGCTGTATTTATACAGACTGACGTAAAGTTGATTGCCGAATCAATTCCTGGTCCAAGTTCCTCTTTTGAGAGAGTGCGGAACTATTTTACTCGGCTTTCATTAGTACTGTATCAGCTTTATAGTTATGGGCCAAATAGTATGTCTTACACTCGGAACAACATCTTTGAACCACGGCGAGGACGAAAGCAATTCGGAGAACCAGTCGGCTGTGGCAGAGCCAACATCCTTAGACCGATTCCTTATTTCGCAATCTTCGTCTGTCTGAGCAAAGACACAATAGAAGAGTTCGTTAGACGAATAATGCAATCTCACCTTGGAAATGAATGCCTGATTCTGGGCAATTGAGTGCTAGTTCATTGAATACCTCCCATGTTTTTCTATCCCACTCTGCGGCATCGGTGCCACGCAAAGAGACACTTGTTCACAATTTTATATTAGATTTGTCGACATGCAGCACTGTGCGACTTGATTACTTACGGCATATAGTTGGCCCCTGCCCACGGAGACGCGTATTCGATGTCATAGTCACCTGGCATATGCTTGGCAGCCACAACAATTCTATAACCAGGGATCCTCGACAGCAGAAGTGCAGTGGTAAGACCTGCAACGCCGGCCCTTTTTCAGTTAGCCCTTGTGATTTCGTTTCGGGGAAGCCCCAACAAGCATGTGATGTTACCCGATCACTACAACATTCTTCTCGGTCATTGTATGAGAAATCGATCGCAGATTGAGCAGTTGAGCAGAAATCAAGGAGACCAATGCAATGAAGTCGAAATTGGATAAAATTACTTATACCAAGGGGTTTATACCCCCTTTTAACCCAAGACTTTAGTAGATAGTGGTGGCCTTGAATTACCTGCCGCTCTTGGAAAGTGCTGCTATTAATCTATGTGGGAAAAATTGCCCAAGCACCGGGTAGAAACAAAGTGACATGAAAGTCTCAATAATTTACCAAATCTGATCTATATATGGGTCACTAGTTCGAGACAGGGCAGATAAGCTACCAGGTTAAGTCAGATCACTAAATACTTTATATTTCCTTTTCTGGAAGGTAAGTTTGTTGCTGTGTAAGGGCCTCGGGCATCAAGACTCCCTGCTTTTGAAATAGATTGTTCGCTATATCTCACCCATCCACTACTTCGTCTTCTCAGTCTCATCCCGTAACTCCATCAAATCCTTTTCAACGGTACACATATTCCCAGCAACCAACCAGGAGTGGTGACCTTAAAAAGTAACAATTAGATATAGGACCTAATAGGCTTCAAATCTGAAAGTTCTGTAGATAATATCTTAAAAATAGCAATTAGGGATTAATTCTCGCCCAACTATCTCAGCAACTAATTAACAACATGAAAAGTCCTAGTGTACTCCAAACCCCGAGGACAAATCAACTATTGGATTCCATCTTTCCATTTCTGCGAGTTCACACTTCCTGTCTCAAGATTCGTACCCTCTATAGTCGACTCTTCACCGCGGAGATTTGCCATGCGTCGCATATTCAACAGATTATAATCCACATTCGGCCCGTTAAAGGTATTGCGTTTGTTGAGAAACCATAAAACAATCACAAAACTGATGAGTCCCACTGTAACGACCGAAACATAGCTCATATTCTGTGGTGTCACCGGCATCGACGTTGGGAAGCAATATAGAACATCCAGAAAGAGGACCCATACAACTGCGATTGCATTTATAGGGGCCCCAAATATTCCTAGGTTAAAATAACGGTCTGGTAGTACTTTGTTACGCCCACGTAAGAGTATAATAGCTTGGGGTATAATGCACGAGGTTTGCTGGAACACAATTGCTGCATTGACCATGGATGAGAATGCAGTCGTGGATCCAATAAAGATAACTCCGTAAATCTTTTCACGTCAGCAGAGTATCTATCACTGACGGGAATCGTACTTACAGTAACGCATGTACCGGAAAGAAGTGCAGCATTTGATGGCATCTGAAATTTACGGTGGACTCGCATCCAGATCTTGCCATATGGAATCGCTCCATCTCGAGATACAGCCCAGAGTGTACGAGAACACGTTGTAACTGTATAAATTAGTGATTAGCAACTATAAGACTTTTTGAATTTTTCGCGATAGTCTTACCATTGGCAACAAGGCAGCCAAAAAAGCAAAACGCAAAGGTACTCAACAAAACCGAAGCTGCGACTGTTGAGTTGGTTCCTTGGAAATAAATCTCGATCAAAGGTAATCCAGTAACCGAGTTTAGGACAGAAGTAAGATCATGTACCGAATACATCAACGCGCAAGCAAATGGAAAGGCAGTAACAAGGCCCACGATAAGGGGGAATACAATCACCATGGGTACATTTCGAGAGGGATTGTGGATTTCTTCGCATAGATGAGCACCGCAGTCGCTCCCAAGGAAAGCAAAGACTGCGTTGCTGACTGCAAGCATGAAGCCGAAGCCATCGCTTTTCCATCCACTATGGGTACTTGTGTCTGCGAAAATAGAAGACAAGGGCGCATGGTTCTGTCGACTAACAATGAAGAGCGTGATAGTGGTCCCTGCCAAAGTGAAGACCGAGAGAATGAATATCAGTTTGTTGAATAATGGCAACAGCCTGGATGCCAGTATGTTTATCGCAATGGCCAACCAAATAATTGCAACATATATCAAGTATTGATGCCAGTGTTGAAAAGAGTAGCTAGGGTACCAAATAAGTACGATATCCAAAACCATCCCAGAGACAAAATTGGCCACTGATCCAGCTCCAAGCCACCAGCCAATTATGCTCATCCACGCGTTCCTACCTTCTCAGTTAATAGTCCAAGTATAAGATTTCAATGCATGAGACTTACAGATATGATGCAAATGCTTTCCAGTCGTCACTTGCCACCATGAAAGCCCAGTAATACTGAGCACCAGCCACAGGGTATGCAGATGCCAACTCGGCCATTCCGAGAGATACAATAGTCGTCATTATTCCAGCAATTGGAAGCGACCATAAGGTCCCGGCGTATGACCCTTCCTGGAGAGCAATGCCAACAGACGAGCCAGTCCCCAACCATGTACAAGTGAGAGTGAATGACAATGCGCCAAGTGACCAAATTGAGAACTGACGGGGCATCTCACGCCTGTATCCTACAGATTCCAATTCAAGATCATCGAGATCTGTTCTGCGCGTTGCATGATCATCTTGAGTGCTTGAGATGGCCATTTCGCAATCTGGTTCTTTGTCTGAAAGATGATGATGCTAATGATGATAATCACTATGATAGTCGATCACCCTTATCAAGAGGTTTATAGGTGAAGTGAGAATAGAAAACCCCTCGGGTGGCTAACTATAAGTTGTCGATGTCTTCTGGGTATGGCCTTCATATTTACCCCTTCCAGACGTTATATATTCGGAGGTGAGCACCCCTTTCTGTCACTGGTTGTCGTAAACTGCAAAATAAGAAACGCCATATCTTCATAAACGGTAGAGGACGATGATTGAATTCATTTGTTACCAGAAAAGGATATCTAATGACGTTGGCGTTGTGGGGATTCCATGGCCGGCGGAACTTTTGACGACAATAATTCGATTTTAGCCCGGCTGTGACAGATCCGGGGGAAACGAGTCGGGAAAGTACCCCACGGCAATCAGCTTATCTGCCGCTAATCATCGTAGCTTTTTCGCATAGTAAGAAGTGTCGGAACAGAAATGTACGTCCAATCAGGTCCATGGGTAGTTGTCTAATTTTTGTTATGTTCGCTCACATACTAATTTGTATGCGACCGACCATGACTAAGACTCTTGGCTAAGTTACAATGATACATTCTGACCATGCCTTACAATACCAATTCCCCACTCATACCGACACACCCCCTCAGTATTCAAAGCACCTGAGGTTTCCAATATCAGCGTGTTGAATGCTGTATCCAATCGATGTAGACCGTTGAAGGTCCCAAATAGGCAGGAACGGCTGCCTCAGTCCTCAATATATCTTCGAACATCATGTAATCGAAGCATTTGGACAAATCGTTCGTGGTTTTGCCGTGTGAGCGGCTTAGTGAGGCCATCCGCAGCCATCTCTGCGGTGGGCACCCATCTGATCGTCAACCTACCGTCTGCCACTTCTTGTCGAAGCCAGTGGTTGTGTATATCGATGTGCTTGAGCTTCGTATGCAGTTTGGTGTTGGTGCTGGTGATCAGATCGACAGTTTGTCTATTGTCACACCGTAGTGTAATCTCATGGTTTGGTCGGAAACCAAGGTGGCGTAGAAGGCGAATCGTATATTGCATCGCCCGAGCGGCCTCCGATAGAGCAAGCAGCTCTGCTTCAGTGGTTGAGGTAGTGACAGTGCGTAGCTTTGACGCCTTCCAGTCAACTGGTCCTCCATATATCTGACATAGATATCCAGCAGAGCTCGTCTTGTCGAGGTTATCTGCGAATGAGGCATCGCTTGCGAATGCAATAGATTCCAACCCACTACCAATTCCATATGCAATTGCCCAAAATCGTGTATGATATAGGTAGGTGATCACTCGATCAATAGCATCAATATGCTGAGGTCCCGGATTGGTCAAGAACTGTGCCAATCGAGCAGTGGCTTTCGCGGCATCAACGCGGGTGATTGTAGTAGCATACTGAGCTGATCCCAATTTGGTCGAGAACTCTTCAATATACTCTCTGCGCGGTGTACCGTCGTAAGGCTTTAGGCTATCAGGTGCTGTCATTGGCGTCGTCACCGGGGCTTATTCGCAAGGTTGAATTTGACCGCCATATTCGCAATATAGGCATCCTGACACAACCACAGCTTCTTCATTGATCGATCGCGTATGATCCGAATACCCAGAAACCAGCGGGCATCTCCATGATCTGTAAGCTCCCAGTGTGTGTGGAGCTGTCGCTCGATCTCATAGGCGCGATCTCGTTGATCAGGTGCGCTAGCCAGAATAATATCATCCACGTAGAAGAATACAATAATTCCCTTACCAACGAACACACAAGGATCCTCAGGTAGTGGTGTCAAACCAAGCTTACCTAACACGCCACAGGCCTCCTGCTGCCAAAGCTTTGGCGAGGTCCTTAGGCCATACAGTGCCTTCACAAGCTTCCAGCATACTGCTTTCGGCAGGTTTGATCCATCCGGTGGCTTCACATACACCGGCTTCGGTAGTGTACTGTTCAGGAAGGCATTTACTGCATCAAATTGCCTTAGATCCCAGTCAAACGCAGCAACTAAACCGAAGATAATCCGTGCCGTACGGGCAGAGAGGGTAGCAGCACGCTTCTCCTCTGAAGTTACTCTCTCAAGGTCACCTCTCACACATAGACGAGCTTTGTGTTTCAATAGGTTGCCATCCTGGTCAAACTTATAGTCAAAGACCCAACGTAGTGGCAAGACCTGAACAGATCGATCATTCGGACGATCAACCACTTCAAACGTGCCTTTGCTTTTCAAGTTCCGAACCTCCAGGGCGGCTGCTGCCATGAATGCGTCACGGTTAGAGTGTCGGACCATATCATTCCAGTGCTCAGGTGCTGATGGCAGGTCGTCTCGGTGACGACTCGGTTTCTCAGCGTTCAACGCAGTAGCGAATGCATATAACAACTCAGGTGGTTCGACCGACAGTTCGTCCTCGGTAACCAGATATGTATAGTCATCTCGCCGTGTTGACCTACGCTCGCGCTTACCCTCAATAATATTGGAAGGGCTCAACGACAGATCAATGTCTCGAGGTGCTACAGCCAGCAACGGCGTAGCCAGTTCTTCGTGTAATTGAGCTTCACTCTCAGATAGAGGCTCCGGTTCAAACAACTCATTCTGCTGCTGCTGAGGCTGGTCATCCTGCTGATCTTCGTTTCTTGTAGAATTCGAAGTCGTTTCTTTGTTCACCCCCTCAGTCTCTGTAGCAGGTTTTCCGGCCGGAAAACGATGTCCCAGCGGAGACTGTTGAGATGGTCTTTCAATAGTAGGTGGCGGAGTATACTGTTGTACAGCCTCAAGATGAGTAGGTGCAGGTGTCGCTTCACGATCAGCTACTTCCTCAGGGTCATCTTCACTGCTATCCTCAATTTCAGGCTCTCTACTAACGCTCTCAGCATCAGTAGGTGCTGGATTCGATTGTTCGGCCTCAGATTCATGTCCGATTCGTCTCTCAATCCAGTCGTCAGGGAGACCTATTTCGTGGTGAATAACGCGCCATTCCTCACGGTCGTTGAGGATATCACGGGTTTCTGGGATCGGTAGTGGGTGCTCCCTCCAAAACTGTATGCCAGGGTGCCAGCGACACGATTCATCGAATACTGCGTCGCGTACGGTTTGAATCCTACCCGACGAGGGCATCCAAACTCGCCACACATTCGAAGCCTGATAACCAACCAAGAAACCAACTTCCGCACGAGGGCGAAGTTTGTGAGAACGGGGAATATTCGGTATCCGGCAATAGGTGAGACTGCCATACAATCTCAGACATGACAGGTCTGACTTTCTCACAAAGTTCTGGTCCAGGTGTGATCGTGCTTCATCCCAGGGCACTATCCAACTTCCATCCTCTAGATGGGTTGGAGTCCTGTTCAGTATATACACCGCAGCGTATACCATCTCTGGCCACAGGCCCTCAGGCAATTGGCCCTCAATACGCAGCTTTCTGGCCTTATGAATGACGACACCCCCTGAGCGTTCGCCGGGGCCGTTCATCTCAGCGCTATGTACCACAGTATGTGTCACCACAAAGCCCATTCCCTCGAGCTCTCGTTCAGTATCAGCTGTCACTGATCTCTCGTTATCTGAGTGAATTCCAATCAGGGGTATCTTCAGTAAACGGGTGGCCAGATACAAAAACGCCCTTATTCCGTTTTGACACTCTGATTTACGCGCGTGCGTATACACCCAGTGGAACCGAATGCCTGATACATAGAAATGTGTGATATATCGGTGGCCATTATGTGACTCCTTTGGCATTTCGATTAGGTCGTAATACAGCTGGCCAAACCTGCCAAACGTACGACCTACCGGTCTCCGTGATATCTGACGTGGTGCGTGTGACATACTACACACCTGGCACGGGGACTCAGTTATGCCAGTAGCCTCAGGGTCCTTGATTTTGATTCCTTCTACCATCTCAGCTGTTTTCTTCACTGCATTTGGATGTATATGGCCCAATCTGCGATGCCACACATCCGACGATGCCTCAGAGATCCTTGGTGCAATCGATTTCCGCACTGCCATTGCGTACTCGATATCACACTCACTCTCTAAGGTGGCAGTTCCATCGGCTAGTCAATTAGTTGCATCACCCTGTGGCTTATCAAACAGCCACAGTTTCGCATTATCATTCCAGGCTACACGTGCAAATGGGATGCCTCTCGGATCTCTTATACAGTTGTTCATCTCATCCCATTGGCAGCCACGTTCCTTTGCACAACCATACGAGACTAGGTTGGCTTGGAAGGTAGGTGAATGACAGGCATTATGCAATTTGACGCTGCTTCGCGCACCCGTTCTAGGGTCAATACAGGACATTACTGCAGTTCCATACCCTAAGGTGCGAGTGACACTGTCACCAGTTTTGACGACTGATTCATCAGGGGTATACTCAATGAACAGATCTCGGTCCACACAGATATGGCGATGAGTTGCTGTATCAAATACCCATTCATCCCTAAGGTGAGGCCTTTGATTAAGACAATTCAGTGCCAGCGTAGTCATTGACCAAGTACCTAGGGCAGCACCCTGTTTTTCAGCTGAATAATACTGATTGGCTGACTTGATCTCCTTGTCAATAAACTCCTTCCAATCAGGATGATCCTTGAGCATCTGGTTGATCCTTCCTTGAGTTCTCGAATCGGCACTCCAATTGGCCGATCTCTCCTTTTCATTGATATATGGACATTCCCATGGTTTGTGGTTTCTTTTACCACACGGGCACCATCGCTCAGCCATTGGCACATCCTTCAACGACCGCTTCTTAGCCGGTTTTGTTGCACTTGGCGAATCTGGTACAGCCTCAGTGCTACCTTGAAGAGTTGAGAATGCAGCTCTTGGTGCTGAATGACCTCGGAGATTGGTCGGTGGCGCTGGTGCTGGTGCGCTACCAAAGTGCTCGCGGTAGTGAGCCAGGAAGTCATTCACCAATGTACTATTATCCATCTTGGTGCTCTCGATCGTGATAGGTCGAAGTTGTTGTGTGTGCCACATTGGTGCCAAATGCTTCACTGCTAACAGGAAGTCCTTGTTAAACTTCATTTGGGTCTCACCAATAGCAATCATCCGATCTCTCATCTTCTCCCAACGACGTACAAATGCTTTTACATCCTCACCTTTCCGCGGTGGATACACTGCATTGTACATATAGTCCTGGCGATATTCCTCATTCAGGTTTCCAGAGTCAGAGTATCGGTCTCTCAACATCACTAGACGTCCATGCACAGTAGGTTTATCATACAGCTGATCCCTAACTGCAGGTTCAACGGTTGCCATAATCACTCTCTTGATATTGGCTAGTCCTCTCTCCTCTCGATCCCATCGCTGATAATTTATCTTATATAGATCGATCGCCGTTGCATTCGCTTCGGGAGACGGTGGTTCAGGGCACTCTCTCGGTTCAGGAAGAATACTCTCAGGGGTATCGGGATCGATGAACTTCCATACACGGTCGGTTTCGGCGACATCGCGGATAGCACGTATCCAATCGATCCAATCGGCCGACGTTCGCAGCTTGACGCTCTGCGAAGCGGAGATAACAGCGTTTTCCATAGCGGTATCGGGTTGTATTCAACAGTGCTGCTTTCGATGCAGATACTGTGTACAGATCGGTTCGCTCTCAGGGTAATTGACCGACGGGGTCAATTCGACAGATAAACGGTATGAATAGCCTCAGATTCGACAGAATAGGCAATATATTCACTTAGCAAGCCGGGCTCATAACTGTCGGAACAGAAATGTACGTCCAATCAGGTCCATGGGTAGTTGTCTAATTTTTGTTATGTTCGCTCACATACTAATTTGTATGCGACCGACCATGACTAAGACTCTTGGCTAAGTTACAATGATACATTCTGACCATGCCTTACAATACCAATTCCCCACTCATACCGACAAGAAGTACTCTGGGGTACGCTAGGCAGAGCGGGGTCGAACGGTCCGTATTTGCCAAATGTGGAAGGTGAGAGTGCAGATGGTTCATTCTGGGAAATCAACCATTCCGAATCTCCAGTCCTCGTTTCGACGAAAATTAATATGGCCACACTAATTTCTATCCAGAAATATTGAATTATTTAGGTAAAAATTGGACAGAGTTGCATGTGAACGGACGGATCTCGCCAAGCCATGTCATACATGACAGTGCTACCAAAATCTATTTAACAGTAGACATGTATTCTCATTGTTCAAAGCACCACTTTACAATCTCACATCAGTTACTCGCAACTGAAATTCTCGTTTTTCTTTTCTTTCTAAAAAGAACCTTCTGTCGACTTCTTTCCCACGATGACTTCCATGGACAAGGTGTTCAGCGCCTACGCTGCACGAAATGCTTCCCTCGAGTCGAGCAGCAATCCTTTCGCCAAGGGTATTGCCTGGGTTGAGGGCCAGCTAGTCCCTTTTGACCAGGCACGCATTCCACTGAGAGATCAAGGATTCATGCATGGAGACCTCACTTATGACGTGCCTTCAATCTGGGACGGGCGCTTCTTCCGTCTTGATGACCACCTTGCTCGCCTCGACGCTAGCTGTCATAAAATGCGGATGCAGTTACCTCTCCCAAAGGAGGATATCAAATCTACTCTTGAGGAAATGGTCGCCAAAAGTGGAATCAAGGATGCATTCGTCGAGTTGATAGTAACTCGGGGTCTTGTCGGTGTTCGTGGATCTAAGGCCGAGGATATTACGAAGCAGAATCTCTACATGTTTATTCTACCCCTATGTCTGGGTTATGGAGCCCAAAATCCAGTACAATGGAGGTAGCGCTATCATCGCTCGTACTGTGCGGAGAACTCCGGTTGGCAGTTTCGATCCGACCATCAAGAACCTCCAATGGGGCGATTTAACCCGTGGACTGTTCGAGGCCTCGGACCGTGGTGCAGACTACCCCTTCCTCACAGATGGAGATGGAAACCTGACCGAAGGTTCTGGCTTCAACATCGTTCTCGTCAAGAACGGAATTTTGTACACTCCCCAACGCGGAGTTCTCGAGGGGGTGACACGAAAGAGTGTGATCGATGTTGCAAGAGCCAACGGCATCGAGGTTCGTGTTGAATTCGTGCCTACTGAGTCTGTATATCAATGCGATGAGTTGTTCATGTGTACGACTGCTGGTGGGATTATGCCGATCACTTCTCTGGACGGCAAGCCGGTTGGAAACGGCCAACTTGGCCCTCTGACCAAGCGCATCTGGGATGGATACTGGGCGATGCACTATGATCCAGCTTATAGCTACGCCTTGACCTATACAGACAGCAGCAGAGCACAGAGACTATAGTAGCGACCCGACCGTGAAAGAAAATGTATTTAGAGGCCTTTTCATTTACCTTGGTCAATCGGATTTTATTCCTCGTTTCATTTCTACTATTGTGGCCAGTCTTCCTAAAAATTACAATCCATGTTCTATAACCGAGATGCCTTTGCTGTTATATGTAGAGATTGCCTTGAAGCTTGGTTTAATTATACAAGATGATATCAACCCAGCAGGATTTGAGGGCGGACCGGAAGCTTTGACTCTGAGCATCGCATATCAATGATGCCTCCCCACCATATTTCCTGGGAGCCTTCTTTGTCTGCTCTTTCCCAGATCTCCTCGCAAAAGTCAGAAGCGTCGATGAACATCTTGGAGCCACATAAACTAGTCCACCATGAGCAATAATCCCTCACAAATTCCCGATCTTCTTCCCGTCTAATCTCTGCGCCAGCAAGAAATAAGGGTAAGAGAATTTGTTTCTGGAAGTTGTTCTCTCTTCGTATACACCTGGCATGCTCCATGATACTGCGAGCAATGTATTTCGCGTTTGAAGGTGCTGGTTCGCCCGTGTCCAGCGAAAGACCCTTTCAATATAAATCAAAAGAGCATTTCGCCAGGCTTCGGTGCAGTGATAGCGATCTCGAAGCAAATCAAGCGCCTCCTCGTCAAAGTCTGTGCTGAAAGTAGGATACGGCGACGGTATACCCCGCAAAGTCCGTTCGACCTCATTTACTGCATTGATATCGAAGTAAAGATTTTCCTTTTCCAATGCAAGTTTGTGTTGTTGCGCCAAGCTTGCGATTTTGGCCATTATGACCACAAATTCTTCAAGGCAGCCGGTCAACTCCAAGTAGCTCCACCCGTCAGATTGTCCGTGTCGGAGAATGCATTCCAGATATGATAAAGGCAATACGAGCTCTTCCCGTGCCAGCAAAGCTATTGTCGCATCGTACCTTGATTATGTCAGATCAGTCTTCTGGATTGATGTCATGGTTTTATTTACCATATGAACATAGCAAGTTCGGCTCTCAGCTTGGAATTGTTGGGAATGAGCGCCGATCCGCCGCCACAACTTTCTATTATGCTTCGAACGCCTTGGAGGTGAATGTGGTAGAGTCCCACTGCGGATTGAGCAGACTAGCTTTCACAGTGAGGTAAGCATAAATGTTTTTTTTCAGGCGTTCATTATCACGTAACCCACATCCAAGTACATCAGAAGGAGCGCGGTGTCCAAGAATGTAACCGCTTTATCTTGCCAGGCAGGACTGCCGAGTGCCATCGAATAGAGCCCTAAGGACTCCGACCGGTGGGAATCAACCAAGGTTATACTATCACTGCTCTCGTTGTGGCGATTCAGATGAAAAAGCGAAGTCGCCATAACAGCGTGGAGAAGATGCTGCGACACCATATATGTTTGGTCGGAAACTCGGAAAGGGTTTAAGAAACAGTCCGCAGTCAGTGGAATGGCGCAGATATATTGATCATCTAAAGCACGTGTTAATCAGAGGACTTGTGGATAGTGCCATAAATCTACTTGCAGCAAGATAGAATGTCGTGATAGCCTTGATCTAAGCTGACGGATTGAACTTTCGCGGGTATCAATATTTGAGAGTCTGCAAAGGGTTGTAAGTGATGATCAGAGACACATATTCAGAAAAAGCCTTACAAGTATTTTCATCACTGACTTCCTCATTGGTGTCTTCTGCTGAGTAGATTCTTAGGGTGTCAAAAACCTCATAATCGGGACAAGTTTGGTTATGGTTTGATGAGAACGTTTCTGGTGACTCATTCAAGGCGTTTACTAGAGGGATGGTAAGAAAGATGGTAAAAAGGGGAAATAATTCAGGCCCCCTTACCGCAATCAGGATTCGCGTCTACAACGACTTCGTTGGCATCGGGGGACGTCAAAAATGATAGTGAAACAGGCGAAACGCCTGGCGACTCAAAAGTAGGTTGAAAGTCGGGGTTCTCTTCACGTCGCTTTGCCCTGCCGCTTTTTGACGGGAAGGATTTCGGTTTTGGGGCTGTTTTTGATTTGCAACCCAATTTATCCCCTAAATTGCCCTCCACGAACCGGAAATGGCGATCTCCTGTGGCTTTGGAAGTCTTTCCTCTCCATCGCCGCTTCTTACAAACATTCTGGTCTTGCATGTCAAATGAAGCAGTGACGGCAGTTGGTGCTGGGTAGCTAAAGCCCGCCAGGTTGCCTTTCGACGCGACGCCAAGCTGCCAGCGTAGATTCATTTTGTAGCCTCTGCAGGCTGTGCCATTGTTGATGCAAGTAGAGCATCTGGGGCGGGCACGATCACACAGAAGGTCTGACTGTTGGCAATCCTGACAAGGAGATTTCGCGCGCCCCAGACTATTTGTTCTCCGAGTCTGTGTCGACGACTGCACCATACTAGCCATGGCAACCTGCCATATGTCAAATGTTGAGGAGATGTGAGAACTTATTTCGCGGGGTAGCTCCGGGGTCCGGGGGGTATTTACTAAGCCCATTACTCGGTGGAAACCCGAGGGCGTGGCCGAACCATGGGCTCGTCAGGGCAACCAAACCGTCCTTATCTTATATCTCGAGCTAGTATAAGTAAGGTCGGATTTAATTATCAATTTGCGGATTCTGACAGTGAAAACATCATCTTCTATGCAATGTGTTACTTTGCCAATTTTTTCAATATTTCAACGGGTGTTTCAAACATTCTCTAATCAATCCTGGTGATGGGAAAAGCCAAAATAATTACAGTTCTACAAGCAATTGCTTTATTAACACATCTAGGTTCAACACTGGAACAAAAGTTGCGATTCAGCTTCCAATTATTGAAAAATGGATGCATAGGATTCAGAGGACAGCTCGAATTTCGCCTCTCAACCCGTTGTTCTAAGACCAAATGATTTGAATGTCACCGCGAGCTTGTCAAGCTCGTGTCCAGATTCACTCTCCCGTGTTGGCTTTGCAGCATATAAGCCCACATGCATATACTCCGGGGTATCTTCGTTGAATGCCCAAGTAATTTGACGAAGAGACCTCCGCGATGTTCCCTCATGCACATAAACCCACGCGTCCGCTTTATCACGAACAATTTCGATTGTTGCAGTCTTGGAGTCAGAGGCATTTAACATTGGGCTCAAGCTCCAATCAGAGAGACTCTGGGTGGCAACAACGCCAAGGTAAGGTGCGCCGTCGGTATACTCGATCCCCGCCTTGATCCACTGGAGTGGAGTATCATCGCGAGGGAAAGTAATGGCAATTCCTCCTTGGTCAAAAAGTGTCTTCCAGTCGGCTTGCACAGTAACAGAAACACTCTGGAAATCTGAAGATTTCACTTGGGTGTAAAGGTAGGGTGCCGTGAAGTTGTTTTCATCCACAGCTGGTCTCCAAATATCGGTGTCTGGAGGCGAGTAGATAGATGGTCACATCTTGTCCGACGGGGGTTGTAGCTGCAGAGTCGTAATTCATCCAATGCCAACAACTGGCTTCCGAGAAAGTCGAGAGGGCCATGGTCAAACTTGCACTGGGGGTAGGGGGGGTTTCAAGTCCGAGCTGGAAGCCAGGACCTTTGAGGTCCCTTCAAGTCCTTTAATGACTTTCAGGTGCTGGAACCCTGTTCATATTACTCGTGTAAATAGCGCATATCCCCGGTCATACAAATACTTGGCGAGACACAGACTCAAGTCATCGTCAAATGGAGGCCATTGAAAACCCCCACTTCCCCACTAAAGCCTTGGCTCACCTTCCAAATCAAGTAAATTAGTTCACTCCTCCCATGGTGGGGCCCGGGAGGAGAGACTGTAACCTGAAGATATGTCCACCTCCGAAGTCACTCAAGTTATTGTCCTTATTTCCCTGGAGGACCGACTATACTGCATGTTTACCCAATGAAGATAGATCCGTTTTGGTGGTGATCAGTATGTTTAGGTAGGGATGGAGGGAAGATAAGAAAGCTAGAGTCTAGAGCTAAACCATTTACGAATCGTTGTAATCTGTTCAAAGAATATATGGATTTATAATGTATTTTTACATATGCATAGATAACACAAACGGATAAGCATACCTATGCCACACAACGCCTTGGTATGCCTGATCGCCTCTCGGGGCTCGTACAATTCCAATACCAGAAAATGCGCAATGTGAGTTTTAATCCTTCTTTGTGCCAGTCTTCTCGGTTGGCGAAGGTGGCGGCGATACTGTCGCTTCTTTCAATTTAGCCTGTGACTTTTTGTGCTTCTCACGCTTTTCCTTGAGGTAAGTCCAGCTTTTACCCAGACCAGCAGTCAGTGGTCCCTTGATGGTCTGAACAGTGCTCGGCCAACGAATGGTTTTCATGATAGATGTGGAAATCTCTTGTTGAAGGCTCTCATCACTGGCAATCCGGCGCTCGAAGGGCCCTCCCTGCGGGCGTCGAACGATATCCTGGCTATCATTGTTCTCTGCCATCATCTTGTCGAAATCAGCCCGCGGAATACCGTAGCGCGACTGGTACTGGAAGTAGACTTTCTCACGGAATGATTCCGGTAGTCGGCGAACCATGTTCCCACGCTTGACCGGATCCATGTCCTGCACCATCGACAAGATCGCATCCGGATCATCGATCCAATCATTTTGGCTACAACGAGGATCGCTGAAGTTGACGTTGGGAAGATTTTCGATGAGCGGTGCATACAACCGCCGGAAGTGGGCCATCTGTCCAGAGACAATGTTGCGCACCTTGCCGGGGTCTTCTGCAGGGAGAACCATGCGGAGATCACCCATGTAGCTGATACCTGCGATGGTGCTATAAAGTTCAAATTCACTGAAGCGCTCCGGGAGGAGCAATAGTGCCACACGCAGAGCAGACAGCAGGTTCATTTGATTCGCCAATCGGACTTTGGGGTGATCCCGAAGAATCTTGACCGGTTTTTGCAATCGGCCCGCAAGATATAGGGTGTTCCACTGCGTAAGATCCGTGCAGAGTGTGTCCAAGTTCACCACTCCGTACTTGATCAACGTTCCATTCACCGTGATGTGAGTATTGAAATATACACCTGCTCCGAATCGATCTTGTACCTGTGAAACCATATACGATCCGAGAGAACCCAATCCGGAGTAATGGTCGCGATGTTGACCGAGGTTCAGGGAATGCCAATGTTGGGAATAAGAAACTCCGAAGATGAAGTCGATCATCTTACCCGAGCCTTGTTGCATGTTTTTAATGGCGGCGGGTGCCGAAGGGTGCGTAGAAGCGGCACTAGAAGCCCCTGTCTGGGTGAAGACGCCCGATCCATATGCGAAAGCGTATCGAATTGGGGCCCGAAATTGCCAAAGAATTTGACGCAAAGCTTCTTTAAATTCTTGGTTTATGAGCATATGTTGGTTGACACCGAAATCCTTCGACGGAAGTTCGGAGAAGTTTGAGATGGCGAGGTTTGGATTGTGGTCCCAATCGGCAGCATCGCTCAACGACGGGGATGTCGAAAAGGGCTGGGAGGAGGTAGATAGTCCGGACGGAACATTGTATAGTAAATTTGATTTTGAAAGAGTGGATTGTGAAGATCGGTAGGAAGGAGAGTCTGAGGTCGGGCGGGAATCAATGGAAATATAGCGGACGGAAGCAGGCAGCCATGGAAGGGTAGAAAGGCGAGCTCGAGACCTTAAAATGGCGCTAAGGCCGGTTCTCTGAGGGGCAAGCATCTAGCAGCAGAAGTTATCATCAGCATGAACTTGATCCCGGATGTTGAGTGCCGAGACTCGGGAACTCACAGTTGGGCGCGTGATTGCGGATCGGCGGAGCGGCGGAGTGGAGAGGGTTTCAAGGGAGCGGAGCGCGAGGCTCAAGTAGATAAAATCAAGGACACCAGCGCCTGCAGCATAAGTAATACTCTGCAGGGATCAATTGGCGGGGAAAAGGAGGGAATAAGATGTCCCACGTAGGCAATCGGTTCGGACAACATTCGGATCTGACGTCGCTCGGAGGCTTAGTCATTCGGGTAGTCACGTGCACGCGCGTGCCGCATAACAACCAATGGTAAAGTAAAGTAAACAGACCAAACAGTCCGCATCAACAACGACACCCTCGCCCACCACGACACCCACGGCCGGTTTTTGAACTTGAATTTTGGGATTTGCAGTGCCTTGCGGTATTACCCTCACTATGGGCACCGAAATGGACACATTTTCGGCCCGTCTGGCCAGTTTCGATATTGTTCTCCGGCCAGACAAGCGGAGATCTTCGAATAGCAAAGGCCCCAATGCGATCGCATGGCCTCACGAAAGCCCATCGCCGGAAGAGGTACATTATGCTTGCTATGAAGCAACTATTGCAACGGGTTTCTAACATAATTCTGCTCTAGTTGGCGCAAGCAGGCTTCTACTACAAACCCTACGAAAGCAACCCTGATAACACAACATGCTTCCACTGTCACCGCGCATTGGATGGCTGGGAAGAAGAGGACAACCCCATTACCGAACATCTCAAACACGCGCCGGACTGCGGTTGGGCTGTCATGATGGACATCCAACAGCGTAGCTCCAACCCCAAGAAAATCGAGGATCCAATGAGTGAGCGAATCATTCAGGCGCGTGCCGCGACATTTGGGACTTCATGGCCACACGATGGTAAGAAGGGATGGGTGTGCCAATCGGAGAAGGTAGGGCAACATTTCAATCTTCCCTCATGATCAATATGATAGGATACTCACATCTTAGCCTAGATGGTCGAAAGCGGTTGGTACTTCTGCCCGAATGAAGACAGCGACGACCTCGCAAGTTGCGCCTACTGCAAACTGTCCCTCGATGGTTGGGAGCCCAAAGATGATCCTTAGTGGGTGGCCCCTTCGTCCCTTCCCAAGATCTATGCAGCTAACAGTCGCCCTAGTAATGAACATTTCCGCCGCTCTTCTTACTGTTCTTTCTTTGTCTTCACACAGCCTCCTCAAAAAGGCAAGGGATCTCGCACCAAGAAATCCCGTACTTCCAAGGCTTCTTCCCGTCTCTCAACTCAATCCGTCGCAACCACTACCTCCGAAGCTCCCGAATTGGATACGGATATGGATATGGATATGGACGATGAAATAGATCAAAGCATCATGTCTCAAACCACAACCAAGGCGAAACCGGCCAAGAGAGGGCCCAAGGGCAAGGGCAAGACTGCGAAAGCTAAGAAGCAGGATAACGAGGAGGTCGAGGCCCAAATGCATGTCGATAACGTTGATGATGTACAACCTGAACCCGAAGACGAGCCCGAACCACCAAAGCCAAAGCGTGCAGGACGCGGCAAGAAGCGGGTGAGCGAGGATATCAACAACGATGAGCCTGAGTCAGTCCCTACCCAAGAGCGAGAACAGTCACCAGCCGCAGAGCCTCCCTCAAAACGCCGAGCGACAGGCACAAGAAGTAGCAGCGTTTCTCGATCGTACAATTACGAGTCTCACGACCATGAAATGCAAGATGCAGAGTCAGTGGATGAAGCGGCCCCGAAAAAGAGGGGCCGCAAACCGAAGAAGGCTACAGCAAAAGGCCGGAAGGCTTCTGATGTATCCACTTCATCTAAAGCTCTAACAAAGGAGCGTCTTCCGCGTGACTCGGAATTGGACGCAGCTATCCATGCCGACCTTGATGCTGATGCTGACGAGCCTGCGGTGCAGGAGCCCGAGCAGGAGGATGAACCAGAGCCAGCCCCGCGTACCTTGAAGAAATCCAAGTCCACAAAGAAATCGAAAGCTACTGAGAAAGCATTGGAGCCAGAAGAAGTGGACGCTCAAACAGAGGAATACGAGGAGGTCGAGGAACCCGCTCCAAAGACAAAATCCAGCAAGTCTTCCAAGAAGAAAAGCACCAAGAAGAGCAAGAAGGAGGAAGATACTAAGGCTGAGAAGAAAGCATCACAAAGGTCTATGGAACCTACACCAATTGATGATGACATTTCAGAGCATGAGCATCATGACTCTTTGGTTTCTGTTGAAACCGACCACCAGAATCCTGAGCTTGAAGCAGATCCTGTATCGGAGGCCGAGGAGAAGCCAGTGAAGAAGAAGTCCTCGAAGAAGAAGGATGAAAAACCGAAGAAATCCAAGAAATCCAAGAAGGAGCCTTCTCCTACCCCCGAACCGGTTGTTGAGCCCGAGCCCGAGACCGAAGTCGAAGCAGAGCCAGAGCCAGAGCCAGAATCAGAGTTTGAGGCTGAACCTGAACTCGGGTCAGAACCCGAACCGGTTTACGAACAACATGATACCCGGTCCCCTTCCATGTCTATGGATGAATTTGGAACCCCAGATGATATCCCGGACATGGTTGAGATGGTCCCATCTCCTCAGCCGCCTTCTTCAGAGATACGAAAAGACAGGACTCCGGTCCCTCCTAAGACGACGAAACGGTTCAGTGACATCCCTCAAGAAGAGCACCTCGCCGAGTCATTCAACGAATCTCAAAGGTCTCGTATCAGCGGGAAACAAGAGACTAGGCCCCAGAGGATATCCAAGTCCTCGAACAGAGCGGTATCACCTCTGCCACCTCCTCGCCAGAGTACTCCGTCGTTGTCACCACAATCATCTGATGCTGAGAATCGGCCACCATCCTCCCGGCTCGCTCCATCCTCCACCCCGAGACAGCAGACAATGCAGGCCCCATTAGCTGCTGCCACTCCCTCGCCTTCAAAGCGCAATCCGAATGCAGGATTCCCTGCGTCGGCTCACCCTTGGACTCCCGTGGATATCGATGAACTGTTATATGGAGAAGCTAGTGACAAGGAGAATGCCGATTTGTCCGGGATTTTCAAGGATATCAAGGCTGGTTTGACCAGCCCCGAAAAGAAAATGAATGTTGAGCAGTGGATTTTATGGAATGCGAAGAACGGCGAAGATCGTCTGAAGAGAGAATGTGAACGGCTGGTCAGTCAATTCGAGAAAGAGGGTGGCCGGGCCATGCAACGGCTTGAGGCTATTGAGTGCATGGATTAAATGATCATCATGTGGTGTTTTGTGTTTTGTGTCTTTTTTCATTCATTTCTTGATTCATAGTTTACTTTTGCTTGGAGTCTGGCGTCTTATCAGAGAGACTCATGATTTGAATATTTGCCCATTTTTTGGTGACCAATGCCAATACAGTTTCATGCCACCATCTCACATTGTACAAAGATAGAAAGAAGTTTCCAAACGCCCATGGGTATCATAAGAAGAACCGCGTATCCCTCTCTCGCCTCCCGCTATATTACACAAATCCTCCTCAGGCGATGATACCCAGTCGCCCTTCCCAGTTATCCTCTTCCTTAACACCACCCTTCCTGCGCTTTTCATTCCTCTTGCGCCTCTTCTCCTCCCGCTCCTTAGCATCCTGCTCCTCCCGATCTCTCAACCTCTCCCCAAGATCCAGTTGCCACGCCTTACGCTCCTCCTCATCCCGATCCCGCTTCCGCTTCGCCAACATGCGCAACCTCGTCCGGACCTCCTTAACCCCCGCCCGAACAACCTCGCCACTCTGCCCCGTCGCAATCAAATGCTGCTTGCTATTCAGATGCTCCACAAACTGAATATTGTCCTTGAAGGTCAGGTCGCAGTCTTGACAGTAGAATCCTGCACCTTTGCCCTTCTTGCCCATCGACGCGCCCGCAGGCACGATGGTCGTCTTACCGACCTGTGAGGAAACATTGAGTCGGTTTTGACGTGCGGTCGTCGCCTCGAGTGAGTCGTAGTCGACCGGTGCGTGGTATTTCTTGCCGAGGAGTTTGGCTTCGTAGCGGGCTTTGCCTTCTGCTTTGCGCTTCGCTTCGTCGTCGGCGGCCTTTTTGGCATATTCTTCGCGGTCCCAGGTTTTGGCGGACACGACGTCGGAGGAGCGTCCTCCTGGAGGGTTTGATTGAGACATGATGGGAGGAATATGATGGTTGGTCAAGGTATGATATGATGTTCGATGAAGTTGATCGAGGTCATTGGCAGCTTTGGATGGGCGCGGTCTGATTGGTTGGATTAGACACACCGCCTGGCCCTCCGCCTTTTGGGGACTTTTTCTCAGTAAATCACTTAAATCACTACGAGTAAATCACTGTCGAGTCTAATATAGATTGAACCTGGTTATTTCGCAAGGACTATTAGGTGTATTCAACGTGAAATATAGTGGTAGGGTATTTTATTCATTGCTCAGTCCTTCCCAGTCTCCAAATGAATGTGTTTCACACAAGATTGCTGCCTGAGCAACGTTAAACTTCTCATTTGTTAATATATGTTTGCTATTTCAAGTTTCTTCCACATCTGATCCAGGCAGCTACTAGTAGTAGTGTCATTTTACTAGTAGTACCAGGCAGATCAATTTGTGTTGACCTGCCTAATACTTTCCATTGCCCCCCTCACTGGCATCATCCATGTCTAGTCTCTATCTTTGCACTTCTTTCCCCATCACACTGCCGAATACCTAGGTATAGCACCAATATTTTTTAAAAAAATTTTTTTTTCCGAATCTTTCGACCGGAGGTTATCTCAGTGAAACATCGTCGAAACATTCCTACCGTCTCATAACCTCTATATTGACACCATCCGAGTGAAACGAATTCCACCATGGCTAGTACAAGCGGTGTCTTTACGGTAAGACACCCAGTTCCCCTCCTCGGGCTTATCGATTTAATTAAATGAAGGTATAGTTCAAATTGGTCTTAATCGGTGACTCTGGCGTCGGAAAGTCATGTTGTCTGCTGAGATTTGCAGAGCCCCGGACAGACTCTTTCGATCCCTCGTTTATCCCTACCGTTGGAATAGACTTCAAGATGCGCATAATCGAAATGGATGGGAGACGGGTGAGTTTACAAATTTGGGATACAGCTGGACAAGAAAGCTTCCGTTCTATTATCGCGCAATACTATCGTGGTGCTATGGGAATTTTCCTTGTGTACGATGTCACGAATGAGCGCTCTTTTCACAGTAAGCGTTTAAACCTTTCGCCTTATTTATGCAACTTTATCAATGTGCCCGTCTAACCATCCTCGCCAGATATTCGACACTGGGCTTCCAGTTTGGAGCCACATGTTCCTGAGTATTCGAAGAAAATACTCATTGGGAGCAAGTGTGATTGTGCAGAGAAGCGAGTTATTTCTTCTGAACAGGGTCAACAGCTCGCTGATGAGCTTGACATTCCTTTCTTCGAAGTTTCTGCGAAAGACAACATCAATATTGACGAAGCTTTCTACAAACTTGTCTCTGACATCAAAGCGAGCATGAAAAATTTGCAGAACGAACAAACTGGCACGATGGCGGTTGGTGAAAGTCAGCAGAGCCCCCCCACTGGTTCTGGATCTTGGGGATAACGGACGATGTTGCTAGGCTTTAAATTCCAATTTGATTCAATTTGTGAAACCAGAAGTATCAGGCGGAGTAAGCTAAGATAAATATAAATTTCCAGTAGCCCAGATCTGAGATGAAAAATGGATATTTCATTGCTCTGGCCAAACGACGAAAGCCTCTTGTCAAAGGCGCCATATTCGGACAGGATGGACATGGGGTTCGGGTTGTCTGGACTCATCGCCTTTACGAGCTACCGAGCGAAACAGCTTCCCTAAACACTCTGTATATCTTGCGACTGGTCATTGATAACGAGATTCTCTGGGAGTCGGACCTACAGGCGGAGGCCCTGTGAGTGGTTCTTTTGGTCGCGCAAGCTGAGGCCGCTCGATGGGGACTGCATTCTGTGAAATTATTGGGGCCGTCTCCAGCGATGCAGGAAATGGTGAAACGGACCGGAACTAAATACCGACACGAAGATTGTGAGAAGGACAAAGTCTGTAGTCTTCGATGGTATGGAAAGAGTGGCCAGGACGAGGTTGAGTGGGTTGGTAATGAGAAGTATGCCTGTTGCTAAGCAGTCGTGGTTGCCCTCTTTCGAGGGACGCAGTGAAAAATCACCAACGATGAAATCTAGAAGTCATATATGGACGAGTCTAGGGAAAGCATTATGGACTAGTGACCATTACTGAAGGAATGCCGTCGTAGTAGCTCTCGATTCAAGAGAACACGATCTACTATACAGCATCAAACCACAGCGATGATGACGTCAAAAAGGTCATATATGTGATCGTTAAGGGGTGTACATCACAAATTGTCCTCACCTCTGATGGCCTAGCGGCACAGCCGCTCGCCCGCAGAAGTTCCCCTCCCCGGGTTGTGGGAACCGCAGTCGGCATTGCAGCCTGGTGCCGACTTACGGGTGAGGATTCAGGTGGGTGGGTTGTCAAATAGCATTCCCAAAGGGCTGCTGTGGATAATGTTTTTTTTTTCTTTCAAAATATTCAACATCTTCGACATCTTTTTGCTCATTCTTGTGTGACATCTTCGGGTTGGTGGGGAATGACGTATTGCCTTTTTGGGAACAAAGTGAGGTTATCCAAAATCCCGGGTCTTGGCGACGGCGAGGATACGCGTTCGACTCCCGTCCTCGTGGTTTTTAGACGGGATATAGAATTTTGTTTCTTGGGTGGAAATAAGGTGGAATTTTGCGCGATTTCGTTTTTCGATATTGTTTTTTTTTACACCATGTATTCATGAAGATTCCGATCATTTCAAGTTCCGCATCTCATGCAGTGTTAGTTTCGCGCGTACATTAAATCAGAGAGTCCTCATCTGCCCAATACGTGGACAGTCGAATATTTGCTAGTAATTACTACTAGCACTGTATACACTCAGGCTCATACAGAACTACATTCCAGTAGACTTCTGCGTATTTATATGCTAGTACATTCTAATCTATTTTTAGCACGAAAGAACATGAAGGCCGTGCTGTGATAATAAATGAATACGTTCACCAGTAATGACTCAGAGAAGGAGTTTCCTTCTGAAGTTGAGCTCGGAACTTGAAACTGTGGATTCGGAGTCTCAGACCCAAGGTGGTTGTACTAGCCCCACAGTGTCTATAGTAAACCAAGCTACCCCCGAAGCTTGTTGTTGTACGAGTACTAGCAGCTTGTAATTGGCGCGGTCAGCGAGGCATGTTTCAGGAGACACGACCTCCATCATCATGGATCTCCACAGTAAGACAACGATTCTCGTATTTCCCCAAGCCCCAACTACTGCGCAATTGACACGTTTCAAACATCGTGGAAAACTAACTGCCTGAAAATAGGTTGACTGTGGCTTGAAATAGCTTAGGCAATCACTTTGGGGGCCGAGTACAAGAACAAGTCAATACCATCACCCCACAACTTGCAAGGGGCAACGATTACCCCATCCTTGAGCCTCAACATGGAGGAATCCGAACAGATCAGCAGCACCGCCGAGCCCCAGGAAGTTCCTACAGTCCAGCTTGCTCTAATGGATCTTCCGACCGAGCTGCACATTCAAGTTGCAGGTCATCTCAGCTACCCCGATGCCCTGGCCTTGAAACACAGCTGTCGCCATTTCTATTCGATCGTCTACACAGGGGTTCATCTCAAGGTGGACTGGCTGGTGGAGCGTTTCGAGCGCAAGCTCGAGTGTCCCATGGAGAAATGCTCTTTTCGCACCGATGAGGCGTTCTGCAACTGGCGTATTCGGCGGATCATGGAGCGTCGGCGTTTGCATCTCGAATGCCGTCGCTCTGCAGGCGGGTGTTCGGTCGTCGAAGGTCAAACCTGCGAGACCGATATGATGGCCGCTTGGTTAAAGCTGCAGAGGCGTGGAAAGCTCATGCAGAATCTGGTCGGTTGGGGGCGTGAAGGTCAGTATTGTTTAATATTTTTTTGATGGCTTCCAGGTCTGACATGTGGACAGCTCTCCTTATCGCTATCTTCGCGATGGTCTTGGAGGTAATGTGGAGAGTGTCGATGCACATCCGCAGCAGTTGAATTTCGAGTTCAGTTGTTTTGCCTTTTCTCGAGATTTGAATGACCATGCTTGTACTACTGTGCTTGCAAGCTTCTTCTACCCCAGATCGGGGTCAAACACCGCATCGTCACCTAAGCCAGACCAAGTTCGGCAACCAACAAACGATCAATCGCGATCTAGAATCAGACCACAAATCAGCCAATACTTCAACCTCCGATCGCCATCGATCTGAGGGTCCTTGCTGAGCTGCAGCAAAGCAAAGCAAAGCAATCCACCCTCGGGCAGAAGCAAGCCCTAATCCGGATCTAATCACTGACGTCACAACGACGTGCCTTGCAAGTATAACCTGCAAGAACAACTGGAATTTCGATATATAACCCAGCCAAGGGCCTTAATACTTTTTGTTTTACAACTGCTTAATATTTCTTTTTTGGAAAATTAAATAATAATCAATCACTCCACCATGTCTGCCAACGCAACCATCAACACCGAGACGGGCTCCCACTCTGTGGACCCCTATAAGACCCAGAACTTCGAAGACCCTCCTCTCATCCAGAAGATTGAGGAATTATCGGAATTCATCGAACAAGTGAAATTTGGCATGTTGACGACCAAGCAATCTGACGGAGAATTTCTCACTTCTCGATGCATGGCTCTTGCTGGAAAGGTATTCACACATCACCAGCTACCAAATAAATGCACTTAAGACACTGGCTAATACCAACCAGGAAAACGGCGGAATCGACCTAATTTTCCACACAAACATCTTTTCCGGCAAAACAATGGATCTTACCGCCCACCCCAGAGAAACAAACATGTCCTTCCTGGACCCGGTGAGCGGTGCCTGGGCCTCCATCGCCGGAAGCGCCTCTGTCATTTCGGACCCGGCTGTCGTGGAGAAGTACTATTCGCCGACATTGAAAGCCTGGTTGGGAGATATGGGCGATGGCGTGCACGATGGTTCGTCTACGGACCCGCGCATTGGCGTGATTAAGCTCGAGGCGAAGCTTGCTACGCATGTTGTTTCTCGGAAGGGAATACTGGGCCGTGCGGTTGATACTGTTAAGGGCGCTGTCCAGGGCAGTGTTCCTGCTATCAATTCGATTCGGGAATTGAGCTTGGAAGAATTGGCTGAGTGTGAGTTTTTTTCCCTCTTGTTCCGAGTCTTTTTTTTCGCATTTGCTTTCGAGGTTGGGGCTAATCGTATTTCTCTCTGCTAGGGCGCCGCACTCATCAGGAGTAAATGGATATCCGCAGACTTATGTGTTATGACTGCATATGATAGTTTTGTTGAAATGTCTAGCTGTATACAATATTACTGCTCAATATGAATAATTTCTACTGGGAAATGGAAGAAAAGCTCGCGTAAGCCATGCAGGGGGACCTATGTGGCCTACGTGAACGAAGCCCGTAGGACCTCATCGAGGGAACAGTAATTGAAGACAGATCAATTATTCAAGATCGCCGCCAGATTGGAACTGGCTAACGTACATATGACTCCATAAAACAGTGGCTCGAACCCGGAACCACGTAGACATTGACCATGGGTATCATGAAAACATGCAGCGATTATCGCTAGAAAACTCCAGAGCACCGTCCTACAAAACAAAAACAATTCGGAGAGCAGATAGCAGTTCAGCAGTTCAGATCTGGAAGGAATGGTTAGCAAAAACGGAAATCGAAAGAGCCATGTAAGCAAGGATAGATAGAATATAATACTTACCAGTTGAAGGGGCATTCGAGCAGGAACCCGGGCTCCGTGAAGGAGCATCGCGATGTTCTTCTGTGGGGTAGCCTGCAGCTTGCGATAGGCCTCGCGAATATGGCGTGGCTCGATGGGGGTACGACCTTCCTCGGGGGGGTCGAAGAGACCAGTCTCGCGCTTGCGCTTCTTGGCATTGTCGCCATTGTCGCCTCCAACACGATTCTTCTCGTGGTCTTCGCGTACCTTGACCTTGAGTGCTTCCTCAGTGAGGGTCTGGACGATCTCGAAAGTCAGGAAGCCCAGGATATCGACGATGTCGTCGTTTGGCTTGGATTCGGTTACGATTCCGAAACCTGCCCACTCGCGGAAACGTTTGCTCTTGCGGTAGGTGAATGAGGCCTGTCGGCATTCGGACCAGAAAACGTACTCTTCCTTGGTCATGTACTTGGTGCGCTCATCGGCCGCGGCCAGGCGCTGGAGGGTAGCGTAGTTTTGTTCCTCCTCTTCTTCGTCTTCCTCATCCTCGCGCTCCGGTATTTGGACAGAGAATAGGCTGTTGACGTCCCAAGCAAGCCCGACCTTAGCCCGCTTGTTCTTGGGCTTCGAGGCTACATCTGTTGGGCCTGCTACCGCACCGGCTGCATCGTCGGCGGCCGCAAAGTCGGCAGCATCGCCACCTCCCTTGTCATCGGAGTCCTTGACGTTCTTGCGAACGTCCTTCCAGGACAGGAAAGTTCGAAGGCGAGACACCTTGGCCTTGTCATGCCGGATGAGGAAGATAAGGTCATCGGTTGAGATAGACCGTGAACCCCGGCGAGTTGCCAACGAGGTGCTGCGTGTGAGCTGCAGTATCTGTCAGTACCTAGTTCACTGGAGATACAAATAATGTACGCACAATCTCAATCACCTGCTGGCGGGTGATTTCCTCGATGAGGGTGGTGGTATCGATGGATGGCTCTGCAGTCTCTCCCGACACGAACATCATCTGAGGGAGAAGGTCAGCCAAGGTCATTTGGGAGTATTTCTTGTCCTCCTCGGTCTCCTCTTCTTTAGGTGGTGCTTCTTGCTCGTCGTAAGTTGGCGGAGTGTCGACATCTCCTGGCATGCCCGGGTTCATAGAGAACCCCAAAGTATTCGGGTCCGAGCTCGCAGCCGCCGCAAAGAGGTTCTTCCCGTAGTGGGAAGTCCAGTGCGGGCCCAGTTTGGGCCTTTGGTCGGCATCCGACTGCCAATCTAGTGGCGATGTGCCAGCGAAAGAGCCAAGCTGGCCAAACCTTCCCAAATTGAGTGGGAGGAGTTCTTTATTTTCGAGGAAGCCGATCCTTCCGAAGAACATGTTGGTAGAGAGGTTTTGGTGTTCACCGGAGCTTGCCAGCTCCTGCTCCTCTGGAGTAATCTGGGTGGCGGGAGGTTGGCCGTCATCCGCCATGTTGATGGGGCAAGAAACTGCTAAGACAAGACTCGGAGAATAGAGAGTGGATGGTTGAGAGGATGGTGTGGGGGTGCAGAAGCTTGTTTACAGATTCGAGGACAGGAATCTGATATGCATAGACGTGCGTGCAATTGAGAACGGCCAATCAGCTGGCCAGTCAAAAGCTGCCTGCAGCAGTTCGGCATATCATGAGCCATTGAGGGCGGTATATGCCGTCCGTGTTTGGTTCCCTTCCTTCCTTTCCATCTGTTTGCACTCCCTGGAACTCCAGACATCTTCACAGAGAAAATTCACAACAAGAGCAGAACATGTGCATAATATGCAACCATGTTTGTTCATTATCAACTCCTGCAATAGCTCATGCCAGATCTCAGGCACTGCCTTTCAGATTGGTACCAGAGTGGTACGAGACGGAGAACTCCAGAGGAACCGGCCGGACATAGTGACACATCATGCGCCCTCGATTCAAAGACCACCACACATATGACCGATTCTCTCCTATTGCAAGACCGACTGAAACTCGCGAACGAGTCAGGCACCGATTATCGAGTGCCACCAGGATAGCGGCAAGCACTCCCACAGACACAGCCAGCGATTGAAGACCGAGAAGAAGACCAATTGAAGACCGAGACCGGGACCGAGGCGCGACAGAATGATATCGAGTTATCGACAGGGAATATCACTCACCTGCTGGATCTCCTGCCGATACTTTGGCTGGCGATCGGAGCTCATGATGACGACTCCGATAGGCGAACGGGACGCGATGAAAGGGCTACCCTAATCGGATTGATTCAGTTATGCGATTATACGATCCGATGTGCCAAGCTGGATACATACGATGCGATGCGATGCGAAGATGGCTTGCCACGAGGGCAACGAGGGTGCGAGCAGCAGATCAAGGTGAGGTTGAGGTTGCAGTAACCTTTGGATGTGATATGAAGTCCGGGGAGATCGCGATAGCCGGACATTCATTTCCTCCGCTCCAGGGCGGTCGGTCGGGTTCTGCCGCGGGGCATATTCAATTATTTCAATTATTTCCAATTCAATTCAATCCAATTTCTACCTGGACAAGATTGGAGAAGACAAGACACTCTTTCCGGACCCCAATTCTTCGTCAATTGCATTATACCCGTCACCATTTACCCATCATGCTGCACCTTGTGGGTCTGGGCCTCGCCGATGAGAAGGACATCACTGTCCGCGGTCTGGAGATTGTGAAGAAGGCCGAGCGCGTTTATCTGGAGGCCTACACGGCCATTCTCCTGGTAGACAAGTCGAAACTTGTGAGTGGACGATCTCTTGAAATTCAAAGCTTTGCCTCGGCAATTGATTAAATATACGTTGTGTCCCGCTAACCTCATGCTTTGCCCTATATAGGAAGAGTTCTACGGCCGCCCCGTCATCGAAGCTGACCGCGAGCTCGTAGAGACTGGCAGCGATGATATCCTCGCTGATGCCGACAAGGTCGACGTTGCCTTCCTAGTCGTGGGCGATCCATTCGGGTAAGTACGATCTTCAAGATATCTACTCACTTCCCACTCCACGCTTCCCACCACGGTCCATCACAAGATAGAATATAAGAGATCGGTACTAACAGCCCACCCTCCAGCGCAACAACCCACACCGACCTCGTCCTCCGCGCCCGCGAACTCGGCATCCAAACAAACGTCGTCCCCAACGCCTCAATCATGTCCGGAATCGGCTGCACAGGTCTCCAACTCTACAACTTCGGCCAAACAGTCAGCATGGTCTTCTTCACCGAGAACTGGAAACCCTCCTCATTTTACGACAAAGTGCGCGAGAACGCGCAAATCGGCCTCCACACCCTCGTCCTACTCGACATCAAGGTCAAGGAACAATCAATGGAGAATCTAGCCCGTGGTCGACGCATCTTCGAGCCGCCACGCTATATGACCGTTGCGCAGTGCGCGGGTCAACTGATTGAGACTGAGGAGACGAGGCAGGAGGGTGTTTATCATGCGGATAGCCTTGCTGTTGGTGCGGCGAGGGTTGGGGCGCCGGATCAGAAGATTGTTGTTGGGACGTTGGAGGAGTTGGCGGAGGTTGAGATGGGTGCGCCGTTGCATAGTCTTGTTCTTCTTGGTCGGAGGACGCATGATCTTGAGCGGGATTATATTCGGCAGTTTGTTGTTGATGAGAAGACCTTTGATGCTAGTTATGTGAAGTATTATGGTCACTCTTCATAGTATGAGTGCCTCCGTTCGAGCTGTATAGATTTTAACGAAGTTCAGGGCTTGAATGCCATGCTTGATGAAACATACGAGATTATTTGCTTATTTTTACACTGCTTGGATTTTTGCATGACTGAAATGGTCTATTATGACTTTGGTATAGGACAAAAGGGTCAGATCAGCTCAAGGGCCGCCCTTTGAAATAGTACATCTGTCTCGCTAGACACAACCAGCTCGACAAGAGACATCGCTCTTTATAAAGTATTGCCACAGAGAAACAAACCATCCCGCCCCATCACCAATTGACAGGTAATAGTGGAAAGGTGCAAACAAATGAAACATGAGAACTGAACGCCGCAGACAAAGCAGATGGGGGTGATAATGCCGCGCGGAGATGACAATGCAGATAAGAAATGGTATCCAAAGACAATATGACAAACATGAAAACAAGACGAGAGGTATAGATAGGTCTAAATGCATGAAGATCCTCCATTAGATCCGCTGCAGGGAGACAAAATGGGTTTCCCGAGACCCTTTTTCGAGCCGAGAGCCAAGTTGCCCACCCAAGAAGGCAATAAATGAACACAGAAAAACAGAAAACCCCACCAAAACCGACACCAAATGACATGCAAAAGGAGGTTGAAGCAATGTACAGTTCGAACTGGGAAAGAACAAAAGACGTCAGACATCACATCAGTGCTCTTGGAAATCATCTTCCTCGCCAGGAAGAAGAATCTCATGACCGGAGCCCTCATAAACAAAGACAGCTGCTACGCATCCAAAGACAGAGACCAGGGCCACTAGCCACCAGGCAAAGCCGACCATGCCGACTTCCAAGCCGTAACCGTACCATGCGCCTGAGAAGATGGGGCCGATGGTTCGGAAGGCAGATGATACCGACTGGCCAATGCCGTGGATAGTACCGAGAACGGACGGATGCGGCGAGCAGTTGTTCAAGAGAATGATAGAGGTCGGCAGGGTGAAAGTTCGAGCAGTGACCTGGAGGAACAGGACGAAGATGATCCAAAGCCAAACCCAAGGGCCGTTGGCCTGGCCCGGTGGCGGGATAGTGGATGGGGCCAGCGAGATGTATGGGGCCAGGGCGTATGCCAGGGGGAAGAGGGAGAGGAAATATTGGTAGCTTTTAGCTGTACCCAAACGTCCGTTGATGGAGGGGTAGACGGTGAACTGAAGCAACATGCCAATAACACCCAGGATGGCGGTCGCAAAACCGACACTCTGCGGAAGCATGCCAAGTCCACCGGTGAAGCCGAAGGGAAGACTTTGAGCTGGGGCGGTGGGGTCATTGGGATCGTAGCGGGGAGTAGACAGGAAGAGCAGCCAGAGATTGTTGAAGGCACCCATCTGGAAATCGAAGAAGGCCTGAGCGAGAAGCGTGCACCACACGTTCTTGGTCCAGATCCGGCCGAAGGGCAGCACGCGCTTGACACGCACGGGTCTGGCTTTCTCCTCTAGCTCGTAGCTCTCGGAGCGGTCCATAACTTGGCCCATAAGAGGGCCATCCTCGTCGTAGTCGCGGAATGGCAGTTTTGAGTAAATGGGCGAAGATGTTCCCACCACGCCACGCACGCTACGAGCGAAGAACTTCATGATAAATGAGCCCAAACCAGGCTTGCCCTTGCAGGCCAGCAGGGTCTCCTCCAGGCCATAGCCAACCAAGCAGGCGCAGCTCGAGAGGAAGAAGAAATTGGCCAACATGGGCAGAGCGTAGGGGTACTTTTCTAACCACTGCACACCATACTCGCCGCCAAAGGATGAATTGGGGCCAAACAGGCGGGGGTAGCTCTTGACGGGGTCCGCAAACATACCACCCATTACTAGATTGGAGTTAGTCTCAAATCCTTCTCCAGGCAAAAATGAGCTTGTCAGACTTACCAGGACCAAACAGCGAAGCGACATTAAATCCAATAGGCAGAATCAAGAAGGCGCGCGAATGATACTTCTTCTCCTTGACATTCTCCGCAATCATGGTTCGGATAATACCAACAGTGCCGTTGATAGCACCACCAAACGAGCGCCAGAAGACGGCTTGCGCAAACGATGTCGAGAAGGCAACACCCAAGCAAGAGACAGCTGTTCCCACTAGGCCGACCAGCAGCACAAAGCGGCGACCACCCCACTCAGCATCCGCGACACGGCCCCAAGGGATAGCCGTAGCGAACTGAGCAGCGGTAAAAGCACCCTGGAGGATACCGGCCTGTGTCGCAACATCCAAGTCGGAGAGATTCTCGTCGAAAGATTTTAACTGATAGAACATATAAGCCTGTAATGAGGCAATCTGCAGAAAGTCGAAAACACGGCAGAGACCGAGTAAAGCCAATTGGCCCTTTTGAGGTAGGGACATCCATGTTACTGGGGGAGGGCGGGCAAGAACTGGCGGTTGGGCGGGTATTTCAGACTCCTGCATGAGCAGGGCTTGCGCATGGCTCTGGGAGCGGGAGCGCACATGGTGTGAGTTTTTGCGAACGTCTAAATCCATCGAAGTATTGCGGATCATGTCGGGGTCATCGGAGGGGTCGGTGATGGTGGTGGATGAATTAGCGCCAATGCCCTCGTCGACGCTGGCGAGGGAGATGTTGGATTCGCGGCGACGTCGAGGAGGTTGTGAGTCGGAGGGTTCACCAGGGCCTTGGGTTAGATGATTATATCCAGTCGACCAGGAGGTCGTACGCGCGTGGCGGGCATTATTGGATTTATGAGGTTGGGACCTGGTAGGCATGGAATGTGTATGTAAGCCGAAGTCGGGACTAAGGCCGGAGAAGAGGGTCAAAGTGGGAATGGCCGACGTCAGGCGGTTGAAATGCGTTGCGCTGGGTCTGTTTCACGTAATTTTGGGCTGTATGGAAGTACAGTAATTGGATTGGCTCCGAGTCCCAAGGGATAAGACTTTTTAGTTTGGGAGGAGAGGAGAGGAGAGAGAGGAGACGGGAGGGCGGAGGGAGGAGAGGAAGGGCGAGTAAAGAGTAGTCTTCTCTGGTGATGATCATCCCCGTTGTTATTACTATTCTCTTCCTTCAGTCTAATTACGTCGTTGGAAAGTAGATTGAGTCTGGAATTGGCCATTTATCGTACTTAATTGGGCCCACTGCAATTTGCGCCAAGAGTAGATACATAAGGAGGTACAGTAAAGAGTGTACTAGATATGAGTAGTATATAGCATACAGTGTATACTAGTATACTACTATGCATGGATGATAATGATATACGATATACGATGAGGGTAGATGATAGATGATATGGGAGTACTCGTATGATAATCTGATGTCTCATCTCCTTTACTCGGTAGAGAGCTCTGTACGACAGATCTGCTGCAGCTCGTACCTGATCTCGTACCACGTACTAGTCGTACCACCATTTTACCGTACTGGTTGTGTCAAGGCAATACCACAGTACCCGATCGACACGACAGCCGGGCTTGCGACGCGCCTCTCCACTTGGTCACTTTCACCAGCTCTTGGCATTGATCAGACGAACCGTGGTGGATTGAATGGGTTTTTGCTCTTCTTTTTCTTTTCTTTTCTTTTCGTTCTAAGCCTTCTCCACTACACGCCAATACTTTCTAGCCTCGAGAGCGGAACCACCTAGCGCCTCAAGGGAGGGACAAGAAAAGAAAAAGAAAAAGAAAAAGAAAGAAAAAATAGAATTAGGAAATAAACAGATGCTTCGCCTTACTAGATTCAGCCACTGACGCTGTGAGTAGTGTAAGTACTAGCACATGACAGACATATCGTACGAATCTGTCCACGCAGTGGCTTCGCCTGCACCTGCACTTGCATCTCCGGAGATTTCCCTGTTCTCTCCCAGTGTCTTTCGTTTCCATTCTCTTGACACGGCCGATCAGATCCATTCTCCTCTATCCCGTACAAACTACCGACCGCTGAGCCACGGGTCCCTGTGTACGGATTCCACACCTCGTACCGCGTTCCCGTCCCTGATAATCCACCAGCAGGTTCTCCCGCAACTCTGGAGAAAATAAGGATCCTGCCTCTTCAGGTAAGAGATCTTCTACTTCTTCTCCTTCTTCACATTCAACAGACCAATGATCAGTCGTTTCTGGGACTTGATTTCCGCACGCCCTGCTGCACCGGTGCGTCCCAACTTGAGATGAGACGAGACAATCTCTCCTGTGTTTCAGAATCAATTTCACCCTGTATCATCTAAATAACTTGAACTACAACTACTCCGACGGAGTACGGAACACGGAGCCCTCTATGTACTACCTCTGTAGATCAAGCAATTGTCCCCGCAGAAAGAAGTTTCACAAAAGTCACAGAGTAGGCCAGATGTACATTATCCGTAACCTTGGAATTAATGAACTTGAACATCTTCCCGCCTATCATCTACTCTACCATCCACACTAAAGTTTACTGCCGCAGTTCCCGACCAGCACCAGTTCAAGTTCCAAAAGCCAAAGCTAGCTGAGCTCTGCTCTGCTCTGCTCAGCTGCTCAGGCCATCCAGTTCAGGCCCGGGCTCTCCTCCCCCCCCCTCCCTTCCCTTCCCGCCGCAGAAAATGAGGTCTCCGCAGGACGCCCGGCGGCCGTCCCAAATTCAATTCTAACCATACGTACATACCCTGTACCCAGTACTCTGTACAAAGCTAATCGAAATCTAATCTATTCTTACCTCTACTATGCACTGGGCAGAAGCTTATGCTCAAGGAAGCGCCAGCGCTGCATGGACGCGTATGTACAGCTACGTATACTCTCTACGTATACGTACCGGACTGCACCGGACTGGCTGGCCTGAAGAAAACTTGAAAGGAACTTGAATAAACTAGTCCAGTCCAGTCTAGTCTGGTATTGACGGGCTAGCTGAATGCGATGCGCCCGGTACATGTGGCGCGTCGGGTAGCTCGGCTTTATGAATCTCGGGTATTCGTATTTCAGAACCACATGCAGTGGTTGTTCGCTTTAGTGTAGGACAGAGGACGCCACCCGATGCGGGTTGTGAGAGATACTCGTACTCGGAGTAGATAGATGTATATGAAAATAGTGAGAACTTGAATGGTATCTATGTAGTATGTATGTGTGTGGACGGTGCCCGACATATGTAAGACAGTATGTACGAGATGTAGTAGGTGTGGGTAGATGTATGAGAAAGAAAAAAAAAAACCAAGTGAACGGCCAGCAATGCAAAAGTGGGAATTTGATACGATACACATTGTATCGGAAAGAAAAAAGAAAAGAAAAAAGTGGAAACGAGAGGGTAAAAGGGTTCACGATGGAGAAAAGAGGAGAGAGGAGAACAGGACAACCTATTCTGTCCGCTGCCGCTCGTATTCCCGCTGTGGTGGACTTCGATCTACGAGCGGGAAATAACGCATCTCTGCCTGCGCCGTCCACCGCCGCAAATTCCACCAGGGAAGATCGCTTGGCGCCGGTGATTTGTGCTCGGTGTAGCCGCCCAGCGGCTCCGATGCCTCTGAATCTGAATCCAACGAATCCAGCCGTTGGCGTCTTTGGTAATAACGACGGGCGTAGTAGCCTGCGATCACTATAGGTCCAAGGACGAAGAGAATAGCGACCCAGACAAGAAGGCCTGTAAATTGAATAGTGTGTTAGTGCTAATTCGGAAATCAAGGTTGATCAGATAAGAGGGGTGGGAGGGAATTTGCTCACGGCCTGTTCTCCACTTGTCATGGTAGATTATGGCATCTGTGCCTGTTTCTGCTTCTGTCGTGTGTGGGAATCCGGATGGATAGGTCCAGATACTGCCATCGTGCTCGGGATCAACCCATGGCACGGTATTCACGCCAGCAGGAGGGATGAGTGGGCGGGCTTCGTCTTCACCTGGGAATCCGAACCCGGACGCATCAACGCAAGTCTCATCTTGGCAGAAGTCGCGCAGTTCAGACGAGGGAACGAATGTATACTTGATCTCGGACCTGCCGAGAACAACACCATTTTTGTCAACGGCCTCAGCCCGAGCCCGAAGGTAGAAACTCGCGTTGTTATACTCAGTCTCGAAGCCTGTCTTATTGACCTGGTCAAGGAAGGTCCAGGGCCCGGTTGCATTGTGGGCGCCGAAGAATCGCCAACTCTGGACCCGCGTGGCGCCGTTCCAGCTCACGTAGAATGTAGTTGGGGAAAAGGGATCTGCTGCTCGAGAGTAGGCCCAGAGAGCGGGTGAATCGGTCGGATTGCCTTCCCATTCGAACTTTTGCGCGCGGTAATTCATCACTTCTTCTCCGGAGACATGGGCCCAAAGAACCAAATTGCCTTCTTCGTCGTGCTCAGACACGTAGGCGTTATTACCCCATCCCATAAAAACATTGTTGTTCGGCAAGCGCTGCAGATTGCCTTGGCTGGAGCTCACAAGATCATTGATGGAAGGCTTGTAGTCGCGGACCTGGATGGCCGTGTTATCGACATGATCGATCAGAATGATCATTCCAGAAGAGTTGGGGTGTGTCTGGTTGAACCCATTATAGCCATTATTGAAGAGCGAAACCATTGAGTGAGTAGCATTCTCAAACAACCAGCGCGCATCATGTTGCTGCGAAAAGCCAAAGTTGATATTGCGGAAAGTCGGCTGCGACCCATGGAGTTGCCAAACGACCGATCCATCCTTACCGGAGATCTTATAGATAGCGCACGTGTGGCGTGACGAAATCAGATAATCGCCGTCCTTATTCCTATCGATCGAGTTGATATGGAAATAGTCCCACGGCTCATGCACGTTCAGCCCGGTTCCTGAGGTATCCGTGTGCGCGGGCCAAGTGTAGCTGTTGGACGGGTCGACATGGTCCAGTGAACGCCACTCAAAGATAATTTTGCTGGTTTCGACGTCGATTTCTTGGAAAACACTCTCCATAACCCACCCTAGACCCGTCTTGATGTTCCACGGCGTCATGTCGAATTGTCGTTGTTGGTAGACGGTCATGAGCGCGGTTTTGCCGTCGTTGACTGGAAGAAACTCGTGCATGTCGCTTGAGGCCATTCCACCGCCAGGTTGTACGGATCGCACGATGCGATATGTGTTGTCCAAGATGAGGCCATGTCCGCGACAGTATCCTTTCTGTTGGTTGCCTTGGAAGAAACATAGGTGATCGGCGCCTTTATATTTGCATACGTGCATGCCATGGGCATTTCCGGGCCCGGAGGCACCCCAGCCGCTCCATACTAGTTCCTAAAGTGCGATAAAATCCTCCAGTCAGCTAGGTGTATTGGCTTTTGCGGGGTGGTGATCGCGAGATTGCGCAACTGCCATCCAATTGGCGCACTGGCACGTACTCCGGTGTTATCGAAGATATATGGGCCCGGATTGTCGACATCATATGGTGTAATGAATATGTATCCGGGGCTTATTTTTTCCTCGTCTATTTGTTCGATGTCGACGATGGGAGGATATATGTCTGGTCGCTGCAAGAGAGATGCACAGGTTAGCAATTAGCTATGCGGAAGGGAAGAATCAAAGTCACAGGGGAAAAGGTCCCGAATTCCGCGATCGACAAGGTATCCTGAGTTAATGACACACACTTACCGATTTATAAAAGGCCGTCTGCGCGACAGTATTCACAGCGCATAGCAGAACAGCGACTAGGAAGATGGAGACAGTCCTCCTAGGACAAGTAGTGGCGACCATGAAGCCTCCTCTTTTACATCACTCGCGGGAGGGTTGGCGGAAGGTCGAGAGAAGGGGGTGGAGAGAGAAGCGCAGAAACATGCAAGGGAGGAATAGGAATCTCGAAGAACAAGAACGTTGGAAAGAGAGGATTCGAGTACGTACAACGAGTACGGACTGCTGTCAGTTCATTCAGTCTACGGTGCTGGGGCTGCAGCGGGCTGGGTGGGTTCATTGGGTGGAGCTCCAAAGATAATCACGATCTGATTGGGTCCAGAAAATTGAGACCCGGCACATTTGGCCAGCCAGAGGCCCCCGCGGTGCAGTACCAAGCATTAAAGTGCGTTGACACTGACGACTGCCAAGCCGCTGCTGGTGCTTAACTGACGATGACTGCGGGGAGTCCCCTCCGATGATGAGAATGGTGATGAAGGTGGTGATGGTTACCATCACCATTTGTCTAACCCCTATGTTCACTGAACATTTCAGGGTCTTTCCGTATCCTCAACCTGAAGATGATCAGGGTCTTGCCCTCATCCATCCATTGTCAATCAGGGTTCACAGTTTTTGCAGTGTGGATTGTGTATGGTACGGTAAATTAGATCGGCCGCGTCATGCTGGGCGGCTAAACAGAGCTGTGTGCACCGCCTCAAAACTCAGGGGGCCATGAGGGGGGCCGGCAATCTCAAAGTTTAAAGTGTTCATCCTTTCTTCGTGACGTAGTACTACATAGTACCCCTTAAGTTTCATGGGATGCCTGAGGTGCAAGAAAAAGATCCTCAAACACAGCCTCCAATGCCTGGAATCAAAAAGGGGGCAACTCGCCACAACTCAATGGGGGAGTTGGCCACGTGTTTGTGGCTGGAGATGACCCGTCGGGTTTAGTGTAATTAATTCTCCGTACCAATACCCATACCGAAACTGAATACCAGGAGAGGAACTAAACACCGAGGCGCATGCGGGACGATTGCGTACGCCGCGCGGGGATATCTTTGTGGCTTTCGATGGCGGACTTCATGACGCGGCGAGGCTATTTTCATCTAGGTTACGAAGTGCTCGTGTTCTGCCCTACAGGTTCATCCAGAATACGGGTAAAACCCAAGGGTCCATGTGAAAAGCGGGTTGCCCTACGGAATAAGCCACGCGAAACATGGATCAGTATCAGGAAGGTGATATGATAATCAATCGTCAATAGGGGGCCTAAACAGCGGGAAGGAGCCATTATTACGAGTAGATCAAGCATTACTCCGTACTCCGTACTTGATGGGGATTGAACGGTGACGATTAGACTACGAACGAGTACGGTGTACACCAGTATAAGTTACTTATCTCGGTCATCCATCTACGTGCATACATCCCATGTACTGCGTACAAAACTATATCTATCTATAGACACAATACTCCAGTAATCGCAGAGCTTACACTTAACCTTTAACCACATGCGTCACAATCCACGAGTTCAAGTTCCAAGTAAAGAAACACGGAACAGTACACCAGTACAGCTCCCCGTACAGCCCACGTTCCTCTTAATGCAACCTGACTACGTATACACATCAACAAACTGGTTAGCGACATACGTATGTTCAACTCAACCAGAGTACACGAATAGATCTCAAAAATCAGCCCGGGCGGGTCTGAGGGGAAGAGGCGAAAGAAATAGAATAGATTTAGTTCACCTGGCCGCGAATGGCCCCGGCTTCGAAGCTCGTATGCCAAGCCGCTAGTCCGGCCAAGCATTAATCCTGGCGTCGCCTTCGTACGAGTACGACGGGCTCAGTGTTCCATCTCTCTGGCCCAGATGCTCATGGATAACCAGTATGCGAGTAGATACTTGGCCATGTCAGGGAGAGATTCCAATGAACTGGATTGGAAGGTTGCATGACTCGCAGAAGTCGCCTCTTCCGGCCCCCTTGCGTCCAAGGATAATTCTCCCAGTATGCTGCCTTTGTTTAAGGGCTTCCGAGGGTTCCAATCTGGCTTCGAATGAAGCTGGGGGTTACTGCACTACATGTACATACGTAGGTGGCTTGCTTGCAAACTTTGGAAGGTTATGCTAAAAATAATGAATGATAGATGATAGATGATAGATGGATTCATGTTCTCGACCATAAAAAAAATATGTACCACAAATAATTACTATGAAGTATGTTAGGCTTTTTTGTCCCATGTCGGTGGCAACCATGCAAAATGAACAGAACATAAAAGGGGATATTATAGATAAAAAGGGAAAAAATCTGCAGTGGCCAGTTCACGACAGAACGGAGTAAACAAAGCTACTACCCTCACCAGCGGTGCCTGCACACACTGTGGAGAGCGAGCTCACAGAAGGAATGCAAAAGAGAATGCAAGGGAGAAATTGTCCCACTACACATAAATCAAACACCGCTTATTTGGCGAAACGCTTCCAGGCCATGGTGGCAGCGAAGCCAGCGGCCAAGATAGTACCACCCATAGTGACAGCTTGCAAAGCAGCGTTCATCATCTGGTGGCGGTTGCGGGTGCTGCAGCGCTTGTAGAAGTCGGCCATGTCGTTACCGCGGGGGAAGGGAGTGTCGGGCATCTCCTCCTCGAGGAACTCGCACAGCGGGCCCCAGCCGTCATTGATGTTGTATTCCAGCAGGCGGTCGGCGGGGACCATGCTGCGAACCTCGGCGACGTGCTCGTTGTAGACTTGCTTGCCTTGACCCTGGAAGTCACCGCGGAAAAAGGTCTCGAAGAACTTGTTCAGCATGGGGTAGTACATGCCGGCGGCCCAGCTGAAGTTCGAGACGAACTTGTGCTCTGGGTCGCTGACACGCCAGTGGACGGTCTTCATGACGGAACTGGGGGGAAGTTAGCTCGTTTGCTCTGCTCGGTTGATTCGGTTCTTGAGCGGGAGGGTAGGTAAGACGTACGCGTGCCATGGGTCAACATCACGGGTGGTCAGGATGACCTTTGCGTTGGGGTAGGCCTCGATCAGCTCCTTGGCGAAGGCACAGGCGGGCCAGTCGCACACTGCCTGGCAGTCACCGAGAAGTTGGTCCCATTCCTTGCGGCCGAACTCGCCCTCGCCCTTGTACTTGGCGTTCAGGGCATCGTGCCACATTAGGCAGTCCGGCGGGTTCTCAACACTGGCACACATCATGTGGTAGCACTTGCCGTAACCCAGACGTTCAAGAGCCTTGCGGAGAGCTGGAATGGGTAATTAGTTTGTATGTTCTTTTGCTTTTGCTCTTCGCACCAAGCGGATATTTCCAACTCACAAGCAGTGCCGGTACGGCCAACACCAAGAGCCAGCACCTTCATGGGCACAGTGCGGTGGCACTTGCGGCGATCAATGTTTGTGTCATCGGTAAAGATATCAGTCATAGGCTGAGGAGCCAGGTTATCGGAGAGAGCGAGAGACATGACGTTGGAGATTAAGAGGATTGGAAATGAAGAGTAAAGAAGGAGAAAAAAGCGAGTGATGTGCCGGAAGAGTGGGTATAAAAAAGAAGGGACAAGACTGTAGAAACAGTCTAGAAGGGGGAGGGGATCAAGAGGTGGATACTTGATAAGGGGTGGAATTTAACAAGAACGAGCGGAAATCAATAAAATAAAATAAAAGGCAAAGAAAAATACGTTGTTGGCATTGATCTGAGGCCCTGGGAAACAATCGCGGCGGTGGACATCTGTCACAGAAGGTGGGCCAATCAAAGTGGCCGAACCGCGCGGGCAAGTTGGAAGCGCATTGCCCCCCCCCCGCGAGGTGGCGAGGGAGTTCCACTAAGCTGTCAATCTTTTCCTGGAAAGAAGCGTTGGTTTTGATTCCTCCGGTTGGCTTTGGTTAATGCAGAAGTATTGTATGTAGCTTGTAAGTAGGTGTTGTATTCTCTGTTCGATGCCACGCATTATGCTGAACAGGTCTGCCTTTGCTCCTGCTTCTGCTTCTGCTTCTGCCACAGCCGCTGCCACTGCCTCGGCGCCTCGTGTTTTCAATTTTGCATCCTTAGCCAAAACCAAAAAAGACACGACGTCACCGGGTGACGCAGGGAGGGGAATCCATCGATAGTCAGGGGGGAAAACTGGTGGATCGTGGAGTGTGTACGAGTACTCGTACAAGTGCAAGGACTGTATGTAAATACCGGTATGCCAAGACTTGGCCTGCGTATGCTCGTTTCAGTGGATTTTCGCACTGTGATGGGTCGGTCGGCTCTCGCGTTGAATTGATTTTACCCCAATTCTTCGATTGATCCAATTTCCACAATAGTAAAGCGTGGGCCGGTTGGTCATTGCGGTGATCAACTTTGTGTTGTAAACCGGCTGTTAGTGACGATCCGTGCCCCTGGCAACCCTGATTGGTCCCGAGGTGGACGAGGGCAACGCGTAATTCAGTTGCTGAGTGGGGAATGCGGCTTTCTCTTCTTGAAACTGTGGCCGGCCTCGTTCCAACTGGCGCCCAGGCCATCAATTCCTTGGTGATGTCTTGGATCCAGGTGTCACATCGCACTTCCCCAGCTTTCCGGACAAATCGACCTAATGTACGGAGTAACGGGGAGAAAGAGTATCAAGAAAAACATCACCCGCCGTTGTCCCGCCGGTCGCCCGTATTCCTAGTAAACCATATCGTACTCCGTAGCCGATCACCATGTCGCGGATCCAGTATCCAGGGGCACGCGAGCAAAAAAAAGCTACATAGCTTTTGGAACCAATGCCGTAAGACGAAACGAAGACGCCCCGCTTCACGGGCTCCGCAGATTGATTGAATGAGGAATCGGAACGAGACTCGTGGTCGAGGCCCGAGACGGGACAAGTTCCCACATGCCAAGAAAACCAATCTACTCCGGACAGAGTACGAGTACAGTACAATGTGAGGCACTTTTCTCGACCGATGATCCCATTCAATGGCTGGTTTCCCGCGCAAACTCTTCCCACCCATCAGGATTGACGAGAACGGAGTAGGCAGTGCCCCCTTCGGAGGGATTGGACCACATTCGTCGCGGATGCAATACCGTTGAAGCCGGGATCGTCTGGGAACG